TATTACTCATTCGTTTTGCAAATGACCTTTGTACACTCTACAACCGGCAAAACGCAAGTAGACTTGCGGGATTTCAAAAAAAACATGAGAACATGTGAATCAGTCAAACGCAATGCTAAGCTCTTTCAAGGCTACTTTCACGAAAACAGCGATCAAACCATAATTCGTCGATAGATTTACTTTAAAAAATTTCATTGCTGCAATTGATCAGTGTACTATGGTCATCTAGGGGACTGTCCATTTATGGTAAAGTAACTATAACCAAATCATTTCTTATTCCAAAACTATAGTTTTTATATCTTCGGTTCTTTCACCACCAAGTAAAATCATCAAACAAGTGAATAGTATAATTTTCTCCTTTTTATGGAATGGAAAGGATAAAGTAACGAGGCTCTCTTCAATAAACAGTTATGAAGACGGTGGCATAAAAATGACAGATATTGAAAGCTTGGTCAAAGCTGTACGACTAGCTTGGCTAAAACGTGTTTTCAGCGATAATGAAAGTACGTGGAAATTTTACTTGTTTCATCTCCTACGTAGTGTTGGTGGTCTTTTACTTTTTAAATGCAATTATGCAATGAACGATCTTTCAATCAACTCGGTTTTCTACAGAGAACTCTTAAAATGTTGGTTAGAATTTCGAAATCTCTTTTTAGCTAACAAAGAGCGGCTCTGTATAATTTGGAATAGCAAAGATATAAGAATAGATGGAAAACCAATCTTTTATAAATCTTATTATGACTCGGGGATATGTATTATTAAAGATCTCTTGTTCAATCTCGACAATATAGAATCCTTTAATGCAATCAATAACATAATTGAGAAAGCTAATTTTCTTACATGGACAGGTCTCAGGCATGCAATTCCTTCTATTCTGAAAACAATAGAGTATACTACCTTTACAGAAAATACTTATTTTACAAAGGGGAATGAGATTTTTGACATAGCGGAAAAGAAAACGAAAGACTACTACTCTTTAATAATATCAAATAAAGCACAATTACCTAGTAATGCAAAGAATTTAAAACATGATTTTGGCTTATCTGACGAAGACTTAAAAAATTGCTTACAACCTTCCCCACCTGACACCACAGGAGCCTTACGTCAAATCCTTTCAATATAAAGTTTTAAATTCAATACTTTACACTAAAGCAAAACTTTTTAAAATTGGATATCTCCAGCATGACAAATGTACTTTTTGCAAGACTGAACAGGAAACATTATGTCACTTTCTATTTTACTGTCAGCACTCAAATGTGTTGTGGAAAAATGTTGAACAGTATTATTTAACAATAACAAAGGAATTTCACGGGTTGTGTTTACGAGAGGTTATAATTGGAATAACGATGTCAAAATGCCCCTCGTTAAATATTATGCAGAAAGAAACAGGTACTTCCAAACATCGACGGTTTCAAATTTAAAGTAAGAATCAGAAACACCAAGTTGAAAAATATATTTCCACTAAGAATAATAAATTAGAAACCTTTTATGAAAAATGGCCAAAAGACATTTCTCCCCTTTAATTAAGTTCGTGAGTATGTAATTAAAAATGTAATCTTTTATTAGACACTTTTTTTTTGTATTTTTTTTTTGTATGTGTGGTTATGTTTTTGTTTTTATTTTAGAGCGTACTGTAAATATTAAGTGTTAATCTCTCTTTTATCTACATAATTAAGTATTAATTAATTCTTTGTAAAATAAGCCTCATTGACTATTTTCCAATTCCCCATAATACACTCTGTTTGCCCCCCAAATTTTGCATAAACCATTGTTTTTAAATGCTCCTGGAGTATTGCATTTTCCCAAGAGCATTTTAAGACAATAAGTTATGCAAAATTTGGGGGGCAAACAGAGTGTATTATGGGGAATTGGAAAATAGAGAATTCGGCAATTGCGGGGCTGTTTTGTGGCTGTAATGTATATAATTGTGAAATGTAGATAATTGTAAGTATGTCTGTTATTGCGGTTGTTTAGAACTTTGTAATTATTTTCTTTTTAAGTAGTTCTTTGTAATTATAGTAATAAATGTCTTGAATAAAAAAAATAAAAATAAAAAAAAAGGGTATGGTTTTAGTTCTATTTTTAGTTGCTATTTTTTTAAAGATATTTTTTTATTGACGACAAATTAACAACATTAATACAGCGCATAACAAAAAGAAAAATAAATTGATAAGTCAGTAAGTAAAAAACTTAATAACAGCCTCAACACACAAAAAAGTAAATCTGGTAAATGAACAAATAAGAAAAAATTACAATAGAAATAAAATCTATTGGACGATGAAAGCCTGTCAGTTGCCACACGTCAGTATTTAATATTCTTCGACACAATTTTCGATGCCATATTTTTCAAAAATCTCACGTAAAAATTCATCTAAATTAGGTTTCGTTCGATGTTCCTGCAAGTATACAGTTGATTTGAATTTGACATCTGCAATGGAAAGGAGTCTTCGAACGTGTTAAATAAACTTTGCTTGTTTGAAAGTTGTACTTTCTCCTTGTGATATTCATTACCCTGCGAGCAGTGGTTTCTCCAGGCCGGGCGCTGCGCAACGTCCGGCCTGGAGAAACCACTGCTCGCAGGGTAGATATTCATTAAACCACCTTAAAGTTTTGGAAAGGTATTAATAGAACTACAACCTGAGGAGGCACTACCGACTTCCGACCTCCGACTGTCAAATCCCTTCTTCCGGCTTTCAAGAAGTTTAGGACTTTAGACTTCTCATTTTTGAGGAGCTTCGATGGAACCGGTCGGAAAAATACACTGCTAACAATGAAAAGACACATTATTTTGTGATGCGAACTTAAGTATTCGTTAGAAAACAAGTAATAAAAAAAAATCAACAACAAAGAGGAAGTCGGAAATCAGTAAAAGGACGTCCGCCTCTCAGCGTCAAACCTTGGGCTGCCTGTGCCTAGATCATTGGCGTGACTTTCACAGTGTAGCCTGATTGCGTTGTACGACTAAGCTGATTACATGTAGTGAAGTGGACGACTTCTTAGATGAACCATGAAAGTTTCTACATTAGCTATCTTATGCTGCATTTCATTATGCGGTGTCTTTAAAGCAGTATTTTGCAATTCCAACGCGGACCACAAATGCGAAAGCCTTGCAAATACTCCTTTTAATGTCTGTACATCAGCGGGCTACAATTATACTTTGCCTCTACCAAAGAAGCTAACCGGGCGACTAAAGGATAGCATCTCATTGTTCGTGAAACATACTATAGCGTCATGGGAGAACTGCTCAGACCTCAATTTGGCGGCGACCATAGAGTGCTCGGCTATGTTGCCCAAGTGCAGTGGTGATGGAAAAAGAGTGCTTCCTTGCAAACGAGTCTGTGGAGAGTTTTTGAAGCAGTGTATAAACACTGCAAGTGGATTTACCGCCATTTATTTGGATCACCTACTCAGTATGTGCCACATTCTCCCTGACTATGAAAAATCTAACGATGAGAAGTGTTACGAGCCGCCTAACTTCAGCATAAACGACAGCATACCAAGTAAGTATCGAGACGTCCTCAATGATTCGATCGACAAAACTGAAAACGGCACGCAACTCTTTTTTATGTATGCATGCAGAGTTGTGGCACCCTCCTACTGAAATTTTACGGCCGAATCGAAATGTGGTAAAATTCATGATCAGTTAGAGACGGTGTGGTACAGGTCTTTAGGGCCGTGTGTGTTATTACACAGCTCACTGATTAGTCATTTGGTTAACATTACTATGCTTGAATATGATATGTTTGCATTATTTTCAAAACATGTCTTTTTTACTGACTTCGAATAATTAACTGTCAGTATGGTCAGTCTTAAGGTCTCGGTAAATGAAAATTTTAGTACATTGCTCGATTTTGTTTTTTTGGGATTTTTGGCATGAGTGGGTCCTAAATTTTATTTTGGAAGAAAAAGAAAATCAGAAAGTGCTTTTTAACCCTTCTAAAATGAGCCTTTTCTGAGCTAACCAGCTAAGCGTGGACCTCGCGCTAAATTTTAGAGCTGATTTTCTCTCACTCTATTTTAGACGCAAAAATCAAAATTCTCCGACCTCCAGTCGGGACAGGTTTTAAGCTATCGCTTTGAAACTTTCAGATATGATGGATAATGATATAGACTCAAAAAGGGTGTGAGGAATTTTCCGATTTCCCTTTGTAACTCATTTTATGCCAGTTTCTTTGCGTAAATCGCGCTCGAGATTCGACTTTTTAGTTTGAAATGCAATAATTCCGCTAATACGAGACATATGCAAATTTCCTCACACCCTTTTTTAGGTCTTTTATCTGTCAATCAGATGCAATAAAAAGGAAGTGAATATTTAACAACGCGAAAGGGCTGGAGCTTCAGCAGTAAACTCGATACCTCTGAGTTCGAGAGCAAAAAACTTAAGCGCCTTTTGAAATTCGATGAAATAAAATCTTTCATAAGGTAATTTAGTCTTTTAGCTTTAATTTGATATAACTTGCCTTTGTAGCGAAAATACTCGCGCGACTAGAATTTTTTTCTGTGGGCACCTCGTTTTCCTTTACCGAGACCTTTAAAACAATAACATCGCTATCCATCTTTAATAAGATAAAGAACGGGAAATATGCACTGACAAAGTGTAGCGATAAAAAACGAGAGTCTGAGAGTTACATAATATATGTATATACGCAGTGGAGATAACAACAGCTGAACAGCATATACCCCAAATCGGCTTAAATCTCCCAAACGCCAAAGGTTAACTACGTTTTTAGCCTTCTTTAATTTCAAAGCTAAGAAGTCCCACCACGCATATGGCTTAGAAGAAATATCATATCGGGTGTAAACAGTGGCTTCAGTGAGACATTCAATACAGGCCGCAGTTTACTGCCCAAGACTTCCGGACTGTCTGATCTGTCGTAACAACTCGGCTTAGCAACGAAGCAGGTGACATCCCTAGTCACACCTCGAGTAAGCGACCACCACAAATACAAAGCTTCACTGGTCGCTTTTTTTTACGGAAATTGACCAACTAGAGTCTCCTCCTAGAAGCTTGAGGTCCAGTCACATCTACATCTTGAATTAGGAGAGGATTCTTTACACTGTTTACTCGAGTTTACATTACATTTTCTAAGTAAAGATATGAGTAGTTACCACTAAATTGCCTTCTCTTGGAAGTATAGTACATACAGCAAACAGAGATCAAATCATCGCTTATGCCAAGGCTAAACGTCGAAATTTTTCGGGTAACGAAGCCCCCTGCAATTAACTTAGGCCTCGGCCAAACGTCGAACTTTTCATGAATCGAACCAAACTTAGGCTTTGGAGGTTAGTTTATGACTGGTTCGACTTCTGGCTTAGTCAAGTTCGTCTGAGTGAGTTTAGATCGTCCAACAGGAAACAAACGAAAATTCTAAAGCCGAGGCGGTCGTTTGCGAGAGGTTCCAACTGAAGTGATCTCACTGGGAATATTTTTGGATAGGTGGTCGCTTAAAGTGCATATAGTGCATTCGCATATCAGCCGCAAATTTGTTAAAGAACAGAATAAAAAAAGAAAAATTGCCATAAACGATGCCGCAAATTGTTTTTGATTTGAGATAAATCTATTATTATTATTTTTTTACAGATTTTTAAATATGTAGAACTATCATATTAGGCCGTGACATTTTTGGCCTGGGGCGAGTGACGTATTTTGAGGCATTGTTCTCCTTACGGTCCAGCACGCATGTCAGAATTCGAGGTCGTATGGGACTGGGTCTCTTAAAAAGTGAATCCAAGCGGTTTCAATTCGCCACTCTGAGGTTGCGTGGGAGACCAGGTCGAGATGGTTGTCAAAGTGCATTGTGGGACTGTTTTGGGGATCGAATTTGCCGCCATGTTGAAAATGCGTCTCCTAAAACAGTCCCACAATGCACTTTGACAACCATCTCGACCCGCTCTCCCGCTCAAGGATTGTATCTTTGAGGAAAACGAGCCGTACGGTGCGGAGGAAAAGGGAAAAAAATTAAATATTATCAAAGATCGCTGCAAGCTCTCCTTTCTTTCCCGTTTACGTAAACCACGCGTCTCCTCTCGCGTTGTGTGCGTCTTTCTCGCATGTGAACCCTCACTGAGAAATCCACTCTGTCCCAATGGTTGTTCGCTATCCACTTTGAAACCGCATTCAGGTTATTCTAAGGAAACCATCCGTGAGGTAGTCTTAAGTACGGGGGTGTACTCACAATCGGATGGCCTATATACGGGGAGGCTCCGCCTGAAAGGGGTACACGGCCTTTTCCGGCTTCAGGTAAATGAAACTATAAAAGGGTAAGGATTTTGGACTCGGAAATGTGTCATTTCGGTTTGTAAAACTAAGCCCAGCCCAAGGGCTAACCGATCTTTTTTTTATGGCTGTGAAAAATTATAGAAAACGTTCCGGTTTTGTGATTTGTTCGCATTTTAAAGACAATGCATTTACAGCCGTTTTGTAAGAGATGCAAAGATCTGAACCAGATATGTGAAAGGGGTACGCTTTATTGATAGAAGGTATACGAAAGGGTCGCCCTTTCTGTCAAAAATGGTATTAAAAAAAAATGTAAGGGTGAGACCTCGGGGCGGTGCCTCCCCGTATAAAACTTTGTTGAGTACCCCCCGGCTCCTTTTTCTGTTCTTCTTTTAGGTCCCTTGGATCGTGGGTGTCAGGAGTTGATTATTCCGGCTTGTAAAGACTTGGGTGTTTACTCACACACTCTTTTGTCGGAGTCGGTTCAGAAGCATCTATACCTGACTCTTTGGAGAAAATCTTACAACAAAAGTGACCTGCAAAGGGATTTTCCAAAGATGTTCGAAAACACTTTTGCAAAGTATCCGAAGTGTCGAAGAAATGCAGAGACGTTATTTTGTGGCAATATGTTTCCCCCGTGTTTTCTGCATGAAACCAAGGCCGTTTATAAGACTCCTTGTAGATCGCTGTGTAATGACATCGCCAGAGAATGCCCGGGATATTTCAGGTAAAGCTTTGATTAAGTACCGTGAAGTTTCGAAAGTAACGACCCTCGTTACTTTCGGATTTAGCACAACCTCGTCCCCAGGGCGCTTTTCTCCACCTCCAAAGCCAGGGAAAAGCGCCCTGGGGACGAGGTTGGATTTAGCAGCCTTTTCGCTACTTTCAGAGGGTCGCTATGTAGGATAGCTAAAACGCTGGTGTGCTGTCACGCATGGGCCGCTGGTTATGGTGATAACATGATCGCGACCATGTGAAAACGCTTTTTATTTGGAGAAACGTATTTCATGTTTCAAAAGAATTGTGTGATTAACGTGTCGTATTAACGTTTCGATTAACGTTTCGTATTCCCAGACGAAAGGAAGACTTCAAGTAAAGTATCTTTTGGGTTACATAAAGGATTTTATAAAATAACTAACTAAGATAGTGCGCGCGTTCTGATTGTTTAAAAAACCTATGGTTTATTGTGCCGGTAAACTCATAGAAAACTCCATTTTACTTAAAGTTATTTTATAAACGCAATAGACCCCCAGGAATAGACCACACTTTCTATGGGTTTACCGGCGTGATAACCCACGCGGGATGTTGGGGGAGCACTCGAAAAGCTTCAATGTAAATCACTCGCCTTCGGCTCATGATTTACAAGCTTTTCTCCTGTTCTCCGAACATCCCGCGTGGGTTATCACGCCGGTGAATCCATAGAAAGTGTGGTCTACTGGTTAAATAACCGTTAAAAGTAAACCTCGGATCACTAAGGTAAATTTTGTTGTCTCTATAAATTTCCTTTTCAGTCCGGCACAGTTATCAAAGTCGATAACCTGGACAAAAACAAACTATTAGCCAATCAAACTTTAAGCAAAAAGGAAACTACTTTAGAGGTCGCTACTATACTTTCGCAGGGTCCTTATTTTCGGGGCGTCGCTACTTTTGGAATTTGTTAACACTTGCGGAATTTCATCGCTATAACAAAAAGGGACATAACTTTTAAAGTGACTACTTTAGGAAAGTCGTTATTTTCGAAACGTGTTACGGTAGTATCTTATGGAGCGTTTTCACATGACGTCATGTTGTTCCAAAACAATGAAGCAACGGCTATGTTGGTGTTTCAAGTCAGTTGTACGGGTGTGTGAACTGAACCTGTCTCTCATATAAAAAAAACTTTCTTATGTTCCAGTAAATTAGCATAGTTGCTGGTTACGTGAGTGAAAAGGCTCCATTGGCTGTTTCTAGATAGGAGTTTTAATTAAATGTCAATCTGGGACGAACTTGGACAATAGATTGACTAAATGTTGTAGCTGAAGAGGGTCGCAGTGGCGAAGTGATTTTGGCGATAAACGCACGGTCAATATCCTGGTCTAACGCAATTAATGGTTAACCTTTTTTTTCGTTATGGTTAGCAGAATTCTTACAATGCAAAATTATTTGTTTTATAACAAGCGAAAATAGGACCCGCCCGATTTGTTTTGTTTGTTTATTTTCCTTTCAGTAATGACTTCAATGATGCAGAATATTGTGGTTTCCTTCCAGAGGGAGACACGGGCGATTTGTTTTGTGACATAAAGGAATGGCCTTCTCCATTTCATTGGCTCGATTATTTAGGTCAGTGATTGTTACATTATTGTATGAGTGTGGTTTATATGGTCACATGCAAGAAGACGCACCATGACTCTCGCGAGTATTTCCAGCAGATCAGAGGTGCTGTTTTCAGGCAATTTAGAATATTAAATATGTTCCGCGCTGCAAGTTCTTAAACCTAACCGAGGCCTTCCAGTTCTTTGAATTTCCATTAAGGTGTTTTCATATTAGATCGGAGGGGTAACCTTAGTAACTTGTAACCATCAAAGATTACAGGGTGTGTACAGCAAATCTCGATCTCAGGCTCTCTCTCTCTCTTTGGCAAGTCGGTGATGATGACATTCACCCCAGAAAAATGGGCGGGAATGTGATACCAGATACGTGTTCCATGATCCGTTCACCAGTTGTCCTTTGTCCCATACACTACTGCTCACTCCAGTTGTATTAGGGCTGTGTTCTTCTACATCGAAGGCAAAACATGAGACCCTTATGTAGTCAATGCTATATGACAAAAGGCAACCCCTCAGGATGCAATGACAATTCCTTATTGGACTGTCATCCTCACATTATAAAGGCGTAGTCCAGGATTGTTTTACGACGCCAAAGGAGTTCTTGTAATAAAATTTGCAAAATGTGAATTTACTTGCGCAACGCTAGCATTACGCCAGAAATGGTTGGAGATGACCCTTCCAGGCTGTCCTTTTACTATAGCAACAGCCAGTTTATCGAAAATAAGTTACCCATTTCAGCTGTAGGTGTCCGATCAACTCAGTGTCAACTTTGCTTTTGGTTTTAACTTTTGTTTTCCACAGATCTCCCGACAACAACGTCACCACCATCCAAGGAACCAAATAAGCAGGGCCCCAAAGGGTGGGTCATTGCTGTGGCAGTGCTGTCGTGCCTGGCAGTTGTGGGGCTCGTCTTGGGGGGCTTAATTTGGTGGAAGTGGCGAAGGACATAACCTGGAGTGGCGTACGAGAAACAGCACGATGAAGAAGGCGCTCAATAGTAGGCCAAAGACAAGTTTAGCGTCAGTCCTAGTAACTGTCTGACATTTGGTAGCTTAGAAAGCTTAAAAGGGGCAGTATCATCACGATCTCATTTTTCTTAGAAGAGTTTATTTTAATGGAAATCCCCCAAGAGTGGACTGGCCTTGCTAATAGTTACATTACTAGAACATAGAAACGTTAAAAACTATCTGAAGAGTTACTTTTCCTGAGGAGGGATTGTGGGAAAGCAGGAGAAAAAAACTACGAATATCTTGGTTATATTTATTCTCCCAGAAGTTCTTAGGGGTGTGTGATACTTTCCCTTCGTACCTGATAAACTGTACCTGCGTGTCGAAAAAATTGTTGGTTTTCAGTGTCACGCCATTCAAAATATATCAAAATAAAATCAAAACCATTCGATAGATAAAGTCCAGAATCTGGGAAATGAAAGGAGGTGAATAGACAAAGACCCTCGCCAAGATTTAGGTCGAAGGAATAATTCGTATACGAGATATCCGGAGAAGTGATTTACCCAACTTTATAGAGATTTGTATGGAGAAGCCATGCTAGTGCCCTTCCAGATGGACACAACATGGCGGACGGAAACCAGCAGAAACATCTGTTACCGAGTTTTGCTACAAAAGCGTGAATTTATTATTAGGGGAATTCATAAACATTAAAGTAATACTTTTTCTACTACATGAACTGTTTAGATAGCAAAATTCCCCGAAATAAGTCACTTTTTTAACCTACAGGAGAGCTCTCTTGGCCGTCATGTAAGAACCCTTTTGAAGCGAAAATTTGTTTGAAAATTAGTTTTAAGCTGCTCTAATACACCATGGAAGTAAAATCTAAGTAGGATAGATAGTTTTGTAGCTTTATTAGCGTGGGAGTGATGTATTGTTTTGATGGAGCCGCGAGAAGAGTGGCTACAAGTCAATTTGCCAAATCCCTCTTTTCGCGAATCCGCCTCCAAAAAAGAGTGTACCCACCCCTTCCCCCCCCGTCCGTTTTGGTCTGAAAACGGGTATTCACTTTGCCCATTTTGGTCTGGAATCGGGTATGGTTTTTGAGGGAACTACGGGAATGTATGAACGTATCAGTATCGTTTCAATTCCAAATGATCGATGAGTAAGAACGAAAAAGAAATGTTCGAATTCGAGATGGATTTGGAGAATTTTTTTTTGTTTGCGCTCTAATCTAAGTAAGGATAACATAAATTTCTGCCTAAAGGCCAGGGGCCCGTTTCTCGAAAGTCCCGGTAACTTTTCGGGCCCGAAATCAAATATTCAAATCCAAATATAAAGAATAAGAGCGCGGGTCCTGGCTAGCAAACTACTCCATTTTTCTTTCACTAACTGATAGCTCTATCATGCTAGATGCAAAACTTTTGAAACCTCGATCTTTAACATAAACGGAGACGGCTTACCGGGCCCGTTAATTAGCGGGACTTTCGAGAAACGGACCCCAGGTCTGAAAACAGGTACGAATTTTAGACGGTCTAGTCTGAAAACGGGTGTGGAAAATTACATTTTTTGGTCTGAAATCGGGTCAGGATTTGGAGAACGTGGCGGCACACCCCCACCAAGAATTCCCAGGAGTACCCCTTCCCCGCGAAATTTTAACGGCGGGCAAATCATATTATCACTGAAGGATAAAAGAAACATTGTATATACACGATCTTAAGCCAGCTTTTATTGTCAGCAGCAGTATAAAGCTGGTGCTTTAACTTCACAACTTTTATGCCTGATGCTTTATTTGTTTCTTTATAATAACCAAGTCAATAAGTAAAACAATGTTTTTGCTTGAATTCTGAGTAATTAGAAAGACCGAATAAGGGTTCCAAAAGCTATTGATATGTTTGATTTCTTCTCTCTTATTGGGATGAATCTCCTAAATGCCTCTGGGAACAACAGAAAATCACTCATGAAAGCCCAGGGGTTACTCCCTTATAAAAGCCGTGTAGGTAAATAGGTCGCCCCAAAGGGTAGGGTTTTTGCGCCGTTTTGATCTGAAAACGGGCATACACATTGCCCATATTTGTCTGGAATTGGATATGGTTTTCGAGGGAAGTACGGGAATAAAACGTATTTATCGTTTCAGTTCCAAATGATTAAGAAAGAAAGTGACTCTTATGCGAATCCGAAATGAATTTTAAGACATTTTTTTGTTACTATTCTAATCTAAGTAATAATGACATAATTTCTTAGAGACGAGTCTGAAAATGGGTGTGAAAAATGACACATTTTTTAATCTGAAGTAGGGTTAGGATTTGGAAAACCAGGCGGCAGTCCCCACCAGGAATTCTCAGGAGTTCCCCCTCCCCCCCCGCCCCCCCGGGCATAAGGGCCCCTAATTTCGTACCCAGATCTCACTCTGTTTTACACTGAAAAGTGAGATCTCCTTTTCCCTTGGCCGTGGGAGATCTGGGTACGAGATTAAAAGGCTCCTAGATGGGAGTGAAATGGCATAAATAGTTTCGTCATATTCTGTAACGGTCACTTTTGATCACTTTTGAAAAAGTATGATGACTAGCATACGAAACCGTCGAATTTATGTAAAAATGCGAAAGTTCATAATATGTTTATCACCGCTGTTTGTGTTTTATTTTTGATTAAGCTACGATGTCCCATGAACATAAGTCTCTATGTTTCCATCCTTGGCTTCCCTTTAACATCCTAGCATATGAAAAAGAGAAATTGCGATGCTTCAGTTGCATGTAATGGCTGTTTACAAACGGAAATAAGCTTGGATAGGTTCTGCTCACTTAAAATGTTCTGGCGCCAGCAGTCTCGCACGTAATTTGTCTTTTCGAAATTCTAGTTGTACCAAAACCGTGTATATATGCATATCAATAGTGTTCCTAAATTTCCTTTGTTCTGCTCGAGTTGTGCTCTAAAATAAATACCTTAGTCTTTTGACAGAAATCTAACTCTGCTCGAAATCTGCCGGCACAATATATAACAATCTAAACGGAAGGATGAGGTTCCGGTTAGTCCCAGAATTTTAATTTTTGATGCGGTTGAGGAAGTCTGGTCAAGGATTTGACCGTCATTTCTATCAGGTCAATTAGTGAAGTGGACAGCTGGATGAACCATGAAATTTCGTTCAGTAGCTTTCTTATGCTGCATATCACTATGCAGTATCTTAATAGCAGTTTTATGTGACTCTAGCACAGACGGCAAATGCAAAAGTCTTGTGAATTCTCCTTTTAACATCTGCATATCAGCGGGCTACAATTTTTCCTTCTCTTTGCCTGAGAAGCTAAACAAGCCTGAATTTGAAGACGTGTTAGCGAGCGCCTTGAAAACTGCCATACAAATATGGGAAAAATGCGAAGACCTCAACCTGGTGGTGACCATGGAGTGCTCGAGTACGTTTCCTAAGTGTGGCAACGGCGGAAAGCGTGTGCTTCCTTGCAAGCGCGTATGTGGAGAGCTTTTGAAGAAGTGTTTGTACACTGATTTTCGTGGATCTAGCTTCATGCAAAAGTACATGGAGGAATTACTCGCTTTGTGTCTTAGTCTTCCCGATGAAAGACCAAGCGACGAAAAGTGTGTCGAGCCGCCAAACTTCAGAACAAACGACAGCATACCAAGTAAGTACCGATACTTTTATAAAGTGCCCAATGCCAGAAGGGAGACGAGGGTGTTAGAGACAGGGTCCGCGTATAGAATCTTGGTTATGTTGAAAAGGACATAAGAGACGTTTGCAGTACGCTTCAGTTTTAGCAAAAGATGGTGATGGCTCAGCCTACTGTACGAAAAAAAATTATATCTTAAATTTTTTGGAGGAATTTCAATGTATATATCATTTTATTATTCTGCTACAATTTTGTTGTGTAATGGGAAGGAGTCCTATATTATGCTGTTTTGATCCAAGGTGCGTAATTGATCCTTGCACGAGAAAACGACTCCTATGAATTACTGTCGATACTATGTGTGTAGGTCATGACTTCCGGAAATCACAACGTCTTGTATGTATGTCAATATTGTCGATTGATTGGGGTGAGTGACGAGGTGCCATAAACTTGTGACTGTTCACATATTTTTCGCCCCAGGTAAGGTACCCTGGGTGCCAGAGGCTGTCTTCTACCTTCGGCCAAACACGTGTCGGCCTGCAGCCAACAAAACAAAGCTCCCCGTCGCACGCGAGGAAAAAACTCTGTTACCCAGGGTACATGTAAGGGAATCTGGGAAATTTTTGCTTGTGGATTCCAGATTCCTGGGCTTTGAATTCCGGAATACAGCTTAAGAAATCCGGAATCCCACTAACGATTAGAATCCAGAAACTAAGTTTCAGTGACAAGGAATCAACCTGAATCCAATACCTGCAATCCGGAATACACCTTAAGTAATCCAGAATACCGCAACGATTAGAATCCGGAATCCATGGCGTGGAATCCAGAATCCAAGAGTTTCATGGATTTCCTTACATGGGGCGATATTTTGGGAACGAAAATCAATGTTTACATAATGATCCGCTGCTCATGGGGTTCCAAATGCAAATTTGTTCAGCTTTACGTTCCTACTCGCGAAACGTCCCCAGCGGCGAAGAGCGAGGAGAAACGGCTGTTTTCGCAGGCTAGAACAATTGATGTCTTTCTCATCAGTCCAAGCGTCAATCGCTGTCGTTTCGGCACTGAAAGTGTGGATCTAGAGAACAGAAAGCTCGTGAACGACGCGAGACAAAACAAGAGCAGGAAACCCTTGGTTGCCGCCACTTTTAAGCCTAATTGGAGCTCAGATTCCGCGCGCAAAAAACCAGAACGGTACCAAGTTTTGGTCCCAAGAAATCTCTTTGCCCATCGCACGCGCACCTTCCCCCCCTATCTCGTCGTTTTCCTTTTCCTTCTTTTGTTTTTCTTTGTTCGCTGTTTTTTTCACCCTCGCTCCACTTTCTGAACGCCTGGAACAGCCTACATCCCAACAACAAATTAGAGGTAAATAGAATTTTAATTAAGGATAAAATTCATATTGCCGAACAAAATTCCATCTTCGACGTTTTCAAGTGACTAAAGCCTGGCAATGTCATCCTTACTTGACCTTAACCGAATTTAAGCGCTTGTCTATTTGCACCTCAAGGTCTCTAACTGCATCTTTTAGGACGAGATATTTTACTGAGAACACATTTACAGAGGGTATCTTTGCTATTCTTATAAATGATGATGATAATAATAATAATAATAATAATAATAATAATAATAATAATAGCACCTCATTGGAGCTTTGAGGAAGGGGCTAAAAAGAAAGGTCTTCTCAACGACCTAGAGCCCTTTAAAATGCCAGAGCGCGTCTGTTAGCCTCTGCAAGATTACAAAGGGTATTGAACATCACGTGATCGAGGTTGAATATGAAAGGTAAAACGTCTCGTTTTATGCTACGCTGAGGGGCTTTTTAATTCCCAGTCCCAACATTGTCTCAATATTATCTAAGCATTCGCTGAGACTGTTTGTTGTTGCATTTGATATTTTCTTTTTTATATATAAAATTATAATATAAATTCACGTTTCAAAGGGATTGGCCGTTTCTTAGACAGCGGAAAAGATTTCTGTCCGGGATAGTTCGCGATGAAAATTATAATGACGCTTTTTGACTCTTTTTCCTGTTCTTCTTTTAGGTCCCCTGGATCGTGGGTGTCAAGAGTTGATTATTCCCGCTTGCAAAGACTTGGGAGTTTACTCACACACTCATTTGTCGGAGGAGGTGCAGAAAATGATTTACGGAGATTATTGGGGAAAAACTTATAATGGAAGTATTCTACAACGAAATTTTTCCAAGAGGCAAGAAGAAATTTTAGCCAAGTATCCGAAATGTCGAAAAAACATAGAGAAGTTATATTGTGGAAAGCACTTTCCCCCATGTTTTCTGCATGAAACCAAGCGCGTCCTTAAGACTCCCTGCAGATCGCTTTGTAAAGACATCGCAAGAGACTGCCCAGGTTATTTTTCCAGGTTAGTAAATTAAGTTGAATTTCGTGCAATATCATTTTCATCGTTTTGATATTTGTGAGGAATTTTTTACGGTTAACGTTTTTCACGACGATAAATCTGGGATAAAACTGTTAATTGATTTTTACATCTAACGAGTAGCAATATGTTGTGCCCAAGTACTAACTGTCTTTCAGTGCATCTAAAATGACAAAAAGAGATCTTAGAGCTTCTACATGATGGTTCGTTTTATCCTAAACGAACACACGTAAAACTCGTGAGTAATGACCAATGTCTATCCTTGAGGTTCCGGTTGTTGCGCTACCGCACCGGATAAATTACTATCCAGCGGATATAAGTACTAGGAAAACCAATAGACCTTATTCACGATACCCGTTATCTTTGCACGCGCTAAAGGATCGGACTGATGGGATAATAGCGAAGTCAAGTGGTTTCTCAGGGGGAAAACAAGTGATTTGCCAATGCAAGAAGCTGAAATAGCGGTCGAGTTATTTATTCGAAACAACAGAAAAGGAAGAACAGTTCATCTTGAAGACGGATAATCACAAATTATGGTTGGAAGTGATCATATTTTCTCTCTTAGGTGTAGTAGCGACCAATTAACAAACTCGACCGCGATTTCTCGTATTGACAAATTTTATCACTTGTTCTCATGTTTGTCCCTGAAATACTACCAAATTTACTGAAGCAAACGTACCAGCTCCACCCTTAAGACCACCCAAGCTGCCTGTGCGGATTACGATCATAACCGAGATTAAAAGCTCAGTATGTTACACAACTTGTACTGGAGAAAGGCATATTCCAAATTGTCAAAAATGTTGTTTAATCTTCTTCACAGTCATAATGAAACTGCTGTGTCTGTCCTATGACCTATATACACCTTTTCTACATATCGACGGACATTCAAGTCCTAGCAGTATGCAGGATGTTTGTCACATTTGAACATAGTTTAGTGACCTTAGCTCCCTCGAGTCTTCGGTAGCTTAGTGGTAGAGCATTTGGACTAATAGCCAGAAGGCCATAGGTTCTTCTCCTATTGGGACTACTCGGATTTTTTTTTTCCGAGTCGCCTGTATAATTGTAGTCTGCTACACAGCCGTTTTTAGTGTCGTCACGCAACGCTCGTCCCCACTAGTACAGTGTGGAGGAGCGTTGTGTGACGACACTAAAAACGGCTGTGTAGCAGACTAGTATAACTGATTCCCACCTATTTTCTCCTGTGTAGAGAACTTTCCTACAATGATACAGTATATTGTGGTTCACTTCCAGAGGGAGCCGAAGGTGAATTGTTTTGTGATTTAAAAGAATGGCCTTCTCCATATTATTGGGTTAATTTTTTCAGAGGTCAGTAGTTTGTTCGTTTGTTTGTTTATTTGTTTGAAGTACTCATAGCCGGATAGACAGACACATCATAAGTCCCGGGAGTCCAGGCCTGTAATTTTGCTAATGCCTAGACGGGATTTTCGTGTACTTTGTTCAAAATTGATATAAGTTCTTAACTAATTAAAGGTATATTTGGATATAAGGCTATTTAAAGTACTGGGCCCAGTTGTTCGAAGGCCGATTAGCGCCTAGCCCAGGGTAAAATTTAACCGGGGTTTATTTTTCTTATGTTCAAAAGCATTTTCTTGGATAATTTTCTCTGTAATTTTTAGAACTTCCAACCATCAACTTGTGGACAAAAATAATTGAAGCTAAAATGCTTTTTAAACTTTCAAATCTGAATTCAAATCTCGCACTAACCCTGGGTTATCTTAAACCAGCTTTGAACAACTCGGCCCTGAAGCCTTGTCGGAACTAAAGCGTTGATAAAATGGCTTGTCGGAATGTGCCATATTTACAAAAATTGTCAACTAAAGTGCAGTAAACTGGCAGGAGCCTGATTTTTAAAGTAAAATTTTGGGGTTCACTGAAAAAAGGAATCTTCTTTGAATTTAATCTTGAGGGTTAAGAGATGCTTTTCCGCTAGTCCATTCGCTGAGCAGACTGAATTATATGAAGGGTTTATCATGCCATTTTCCCAACAGCTAAAATGATTTATCATGGTCCATAGATAGATTGAATGTCATTATAGCACTACTGTCTCCGTTTTAGCTAAATGTGTGCATTTGAAGACTACGCCCTATGACAGCCAAGCACTGTTAAATTTGCTCTTTACATTAAATTGAGTTGTGCTGATTGCATGGGCTTTGATAGAAAGTGACAGCAAAAGTTTTGGCATTATTCGTCATTACGGTCATTACGAGCATTTTTTACTGGCATAATTATTTTATCAACATTTTAGCTTGTTTTCCGAAAATAGGTAATTCATTGATCATTGAACCAATTCTTTTTGCCACGACATCAGTACGTGTTACAAGTATTTCTTTATTTCTTTATTTTTTTTTTAAAAAAAAAGTCAGGTTTTGGAAGATGTTTGCTTTTTTGGCTGAGTATCAAGTGAAGCATGTGCAATTACAGTTTCTGGTTCTACAGACCGGAATAAATTTCTTGATGGACCACAGGGATGTTCCATTTATTACCACTTTGCATGATTTACAAAATATGGCAACTTCTAGCACATCAAGCTCGTTTTTACCAGCACCATTTATCAAAGCTTACAGTTTATGCATCAGCCGTTTGAACCCGTAAACGACAGAGGCTAGCCAAACGGGACTCTGTTTTTAACATGCAGACATTCGCGCGAAAAATTCGTTTGCTTTTATCCGTGCGTTATAGGACGTGCAGGTTCCCACACAGTTCGCCCGACACCATCATCAACACCATCAACAAAAGCACCACTTATGCAGTGGCCGACAGGAGTTGCCACCCTTACCACAGCTGCAGTTGACGGGGATACCACTCCTACCACAGCTGCCTTTGAGGGTCAGTAGTTCTCGATACATTTAGCCTGCGCGCGTGACAGGCGTTTGAACAGGAAAAAATGACAGAATTAGGTAGCGCTATAGAGGGCGATAGACCGGGCTCTGTTTGTGCTCCTGTTATTATTCTTCCCTTTCCTTTCAATTTCAAAGGCAGGCTACATGGTTCGGAGAAATTTTAAATTTTAAACGATGGAAAGTGAAGCATGAAATAGATTGAAAACTGATTGTTAGGTCATCTTTGCAACTTTCCCTTTTGCCTAGAAAAAAGTATCGCTCGCTATTCTTGTATAGCGGGATTTATAACTATTCCAAATACATGTACAAAATAAGGACAAATCATAGTATATTGCTATACTAAGGGCGCTTTCCAAAAGTCAAAACTAGCCGGCAAGACCGGTTATATTGAAATTAAATATTTAACAATTAATGAATGAGGCTGAGTATCTTATAAAGAATTATGGAGATCGAGCAGGGTGTTATACGTCGAGGCCGTAGGCCGAGGCCCTCCGAGATCTCCATAATTCTTCATATGATACGAAAGCCGAATTCAATAATTGTTTTATTATTCATTCAAAATAATTCCTAGTTTAATAACATAACTAAAACATGCTAACCTCCATCGATAATAAAGACTGGGACCCTGCCTATCCGTAAAAAATGCGACCTTGTGACCCTGTCACGCTACTTCAACAACAGCCAGTCAAGCCTTATAACCTATAACCTATCGTGACTGGATTTTCTTTTCACAGCCCACCCGACAACACATTCGCCACCATCCGAGGAACTACATCAACACGGACCCAAAGGGTGGGCCATTGCTGTAGCAGTGATAGTGACCTTTGTTGTTGTGGGTCTCGTGTTGGCAGGTTTGATCTGGTGGAAGCTTAAGTGGCGTGGTACATCACCTTTTGCGGGGTACCAAAAACAGCCCGATGAATCTGGCTTTGAGCTGTAGAGCCAAGAAAATATGTGCTTAATTAAGATCTTTGTTGTCTGTCCGGCCGTCAGGTCCAGGCTAGTACACAAGGATCATAAGAGTACTTTCACGCCCTCATGGGAGGTAATCCGGATTTAAACAACCATGTCCCCAGGGCGCTTTTCCCTCGCTTTGGAAAAGCGCCCTGGGGACGAAGTTGGGATTTAATTTGACGGGAATGATCTAAGAATTGTTTTTGCCGGGGGAGGGGGTTGATATTTTTGATTCTAGGATTTGGATGGCTTGATCTAAATAGGGAATTTTTGGGTATTCAAAACAATCTGAAGATTCATGGTAGTACCCGCGTATCCGGGCCCGGTCCCGTAGTTCTACGAATAAAGTACAACTAAACTTATTTTGTGGCTGTTGGATTTTTCAGGGGTTAATTTTCTGGTCCAAGGAGTTGTTTGGAAGCCCAAGGGACTTTTTTGAGTTTTGATTTTTGCCCATATTCGATCATCCCCGTCTCTTGAAATCTGGAGTATCCCCTTGGGATCAAGCTCTTAAGAAAATGGAATGCTTGAACAGGTGGAAAATCATCGTAGTTATGTATGCAATTCAGTAAACAGTTTCTAAGGAAAAGCCTCATAGATAGATTTAGCCGAGGCTAAAGGCAAAGCTCCCGTTAATGAAAAAATAGCCTACTAGCAGGCGCCGGTCATTTTTTTACAAGTCGCAAGAGATTTATACCTCCGCAGTAAAAAACCGGCGCCTTCTATCTACGCTGGCTAACAAAAAACCATTGCAATAAAGAAATCGAATTAGAGTTGAGCCTGCGATCAGTTGAAAACTGAAACTTGTCAGCAGTAAACTTAAAAAAGAACACGTAACCTCGATGGTCGACACCTGAGCCCGCGATTCGGTCAATCATTTTCTGTTTGCTATGTGTTCAAATCTCGCACTGTAACGTTCATATTGTATCTATACTCATTTTGCTTTTATAACCCCTGTTTAAGGTTTGTGTTGCAATTTGAAATATCGGGGAAATACAATTCATCATCTTGTTTTTGTTTTCGTTCATTATTTATCCTATCACTCTTCCAGCCGTAAGGATCAGTTTACTGGTACGGTCCCCGGGGGGGAGGGGGGTACTCCCTTATAAGGGTTTAATGGGGACGTGCGGCCAGCCAGGGTATGTTTTTCGGGATTTTTGTCTTAAACAGGGTATTGATTTTATCAATTTTTGTCTTAAAAAGGGTATCTTTTCTTAGACAGGAGCCCATAACCCTGTTCTTAGACGATAAAGAGCCTGCGCTTATGTTCTACGAATGTCGTAAACTGGGTATCAAAAAGCGGAATTCTGTCTTAAACATGGAAGGAAAATCAGCGGTTTTTGTCTTAAACAGGGTCAGGGTATGAGGGGCCGAGCAGCACCTCCCCACCCAAGGATATATCGAGGACCCCGCCCCCCGGGGTACGGTCACGTTATAACCAAAATTTCTTGGATAGATTGCCCAAATATTCTTAGCTCCAGGCCTCGCTAAAAAGTTAAGGCTCGGCAGTATTTGTAGCACTAATGCTAGTGAGGCCGAGCAAATGCCTGAAACAAATAATTCAAATTGAACTTAACAGGGTTAAGAATCCCAGCTGGTAGCCTGCGTAGCAGGCGCTTGGAAGTAGTGGGCGCGAGAAAGAACGGGCGCGCGAGAGGGAGACAGGTGAGAAGAGAGGGAGCAAGTTCGCTCTCCCCTCGCGTGTCTCTCTCTCGCGCGCCCATTCTTTCTTGCGCTCACTATTTCCAAGCGCCTGCTACGCAGGCTACCCAACTTGGCGGAGGCAAACCAGTTACAAGCGTGGTCAAGGATTAGAACTCGGGACTACTGAGAGCAAATCAAGCTAGTAGCGGTCAGAGCGGGACTTGAACTCGGGACCTCCGAATAGTCCAGTTTCGAATTAAAAATTACCGCTGAATACAAACATTAAGGACACAATCATACAGGATTAGCCTCGACGTAAAGTAAAATATTCAGAAATTCTGGCAAGTAAGTGTTTGAAATTTGAATATACACAAAAGACAGAGTAATAAACAGGTCTTTTCGTCGTTGGAATTTGTAAATACATTACTTCAGATGGAGGCTAAGGCTGTAAAAAATGCGTCTTCACTTCTTTAATTCAGCGGTCATAGCGAACTCGAAAATGGGCTATTGCAAGTCCTGCGCTCTAACCACTCGGCCATGCTGCCTCCTGTTATGGAGGTTGTTAGTGCAACTCGTTCGTATGGGACACCCAGACTATGAGTACCTTTTAGCTGGGTGAACAGCGTTTCTGGCAAACACACGTGAAGTGATAACAGTTATTTTCTCCAACTATTTTTTTTTGTAAACTTTTCCCGGGCTTTGAACGGGGAACGGATAACTACCCAATGACCACTACTACCCCAAGCCGTGATCGCGCTCGGCCCTGGGAACTATAATGGGAGTTAATGCTATTTATTTCCTTACCACAAGATGAGGTAGATAGTGTTAACTCGACCAACTTTGCATAATTGCTTTATTATAACTTTAAAGTTTCTGGTTCTCGTTAACCAACTTTCAAGAATTAAAATTAGTTATCCAAAAATGTGATCCCAATCTCAGACCGAGAATACAAATTGTGCTTATGGGCTCATCAGGCATAATTATCTCGAAACTACTGCAAAAAATGTTCTTAAATTTCCCTGAATTACCCTCCTTATTAACGTTTAAGCTACAACAACATAACATTGAGAAAATTGTTCTCTTCGTAAACATGCACCAACTTACAGTTATTTAGTACAATCAAGAGAGAGTGAGCTCATCCATGTTTAACTCATTCTCTCTTGGTACTGTAAAATACTTAACCCTTTAAGTCCCAATGGTGACCAACAACAATTTTCTCCTAACAATATCCATATGTTGTCAAGAGAAATGGTTATAAGAGTTAATAAAATGATCAGTAAAGAGAAAATGCTCTGATCTGTTATCAAAGTCTCAATTAATTCTTAAAGGAGATGTATGAAGATCAGTTTGGAGAATTTATATGTGGATATTAGGGCTTTAAGGGTTAAAAGAAACGGCACTTCTAAAGAGCACCCCTTATGAATCAATTTTTGTGTTTTCACCCCCTTCGTAAATTCCTTTCTAGTCTCAAACTTCTCTCTGTTAGCCGGGATGGCAAACGACCAATAAAACGTTCTTCAGTATCAAGCGTGCGATCATGCAGTAAGTTCAGTAAGTTACAGCTCGTCCATATTCACCATAAGGCTGTGGGTGTATTGAGCTCTTAACCGTTTGTATCTTCTGAAAAATATGACCCCCAGAACAAACAGGACCAGGCCGGCTATCACACCCACCACAATACCAGCGATAATCCCGGCCGAGAGCTTCCCGCTTTTATGTGCTTTGACTTTAGGAGTTTCTGCAAAGTGAAACAAAATGGTTCGTGGACGTTAATGATTGGCACCTGTCACGGATGTGATAAACGGTTATTCGGATGAAGTCGAGCAAAATATCGTGTAGACTGCATATTTACAGTCCCCCTTTTTTTCAGTAAAATTGTTGGGATCGATGGAATTATTTTCTCCGCAGATTTGATTGTCTTCAGACAGTGCTTTGATCATGCGCAGAAGCAAGGAATAAAAAAGGTGTTTGGGAGGTCAATAATGCCCTCATCATCGGTAATTTCACGATTTCGGATCACCTACTCCCAACTAACAGTCACGTTGAGTTAGACTACTTACAGTCCCCCGATTTTTCCGTAACGTCGTCGAGATCGAGTGCTTACTGAAATGGTCGTCCCAGGTTACAATGCAGCTACAGTGAAACCTCTATTAAGAGGACACCTTCGGGACCTTCCCAAGTGTCCGCTTAATTGAGAGGTTGTAAAAATTGCGCAATGTTTGTTAACGATCAATATTCAACAGTTACTCTGTACTGTGATAAAGTTACATGTTGTTAAAGAAGCTGTCCAGTGTTTAAATTCATTACCTTTCATTACTAACTTTAATTTGTTTGTAAAAATGCAAAAACATTAACCGATTTCCGTACGTATTTCAAGGACCTAATCCAATACTACTATTGTCAATTCAGTCCGATGTCCGCTTAATAGAGGTTTTTAACAATAGAAATTAGCCAAATACAACTTATTTTAGTGTTCGCGTCCGCTTAATAGAGGAGTCCGCTGAATAGGGGTTCGTTATAAAGGGAAATATCAGACGTTCGTTTCGGGACCAGGCTTAGTGTCCGCTTAATAGAGGGTGTCCGCTTAATATAGAGGTTCGGCACTAGGCACATCAACATATGCTGCGTGGACAGAAAAAAATTTTTTTCGGCCCTTCGGACCTCACCTTGGTCTAAAAATAAGGGGGACCCCCAGGGGCCCCACTCACATATTTTAATGACGGGGGGGTCCGACAGAGGTTCATATTTTATACCCAAAAAAATCCCAATTTCAGAATTTGTCTACCCCAAAAAATCCCTACTTTTTTTAGCATACCCAAAAAAATCCCTCAGTGTTTTTGCATCAGCAAATTTTATTATTTATCTTCTGGAAAGTTAAAGCATGCCAACTTCAACTTTGGTTTTGGTCAAAAACAAAAATAAAAATTGCGCTTATGTTATTTTTGATTTGAGCTGATCAAAAATACAATACCCAAAAAAATCCCTCTGTTGTTTTCGCGACCCCAAAAAATCCTGGCGTCTTTCATAGACCCAAAAAAATCCCTTTTGGCCAAAATGTCAGACCCAAAAAATCCTTCGGACCCCCCCGTCATTGAAATATGTGAGTAGGGCCCCTGGGGGGGCCCCCTCTTCCCTGGATCCGCCACTGAGTGGTTCTTCACCCTTACTTACATCTCATCTTCGGGCCTAAACGGTACCCTAAACGGCACGTTAATCTCACAAAGAAACTACTCACGCAGGCGCGTCTTTTCCTTTAGAAAGTTCTTCATAATGAGCTATGGCTTTTGAACAATAAAAGACATTTAATTTCACAATTTTTGTTTTTACCTTTGCTACCAGAAGGGGTCATCTCAGAGCGGCTAGTCATAGGTTCCGTGCTCTTGCTTTTTGTAGGTGCCTCTGTCACGGGAGCACTCACATTAATTGATGCACTTGATGTACTGGTCCTTAGAGTGGGCGTGCTGGTTTTTGTTAAAATCGTACTACCCATTTTCAGCGCTGATTTACTTGTTTGCATAGGATAAGGTGTAGTAACGTTTAAAGATGCTGGAGTCATTAGCACAGTGGTGCTACCATTTATAGATGCAGTTTTATTTGGTGCAGGTGAACTACGAGTTACGAATGCAATGGTTCTCGGGGTGGGAGCAGTGGCCGTCAGTGAAGACGTGCTACCAATAACAGCTGGTGTATTCGTTGGCGCAGGGCTAGGTGTACTGCCAATTACAGATGCTTGAGTCGTTGGCATAAAAGCACTACCAGGTTTGGATACTTGAATCGTTGATGCAGGACTTTGGGATGTTTTAGCCGTTGCCACGGCAGTAGTACTGCTGGCCGATGCTTGAGTCGTAGATGTTGGCGAAATAACAGTTGTAGTCGCCTCAGTTGTTTGCACAGACATACTATCACTTGTAGACGCTTCCGTTGTCGGTACAGTAGACGAGGTAACAATATTTTCAGATGATTTACTCGCTGACAAGGGCGTGCTGTTATTCTCAGATGGCTTTGTTGTTGGTGATGAGGGTGAAATAGCAAGTCCATGTGCTTTGGAAGAGAAAGCGTATTTTAGTTTGGACAGCTAAAATGATCGACCTCCTCCTCCCCAGGGCTTTTCCGGGAAAGTCCTGGGGGCGGATTTGGCAAGCATGGACATGATGAGTGACGTGAAAAAGATAGCCAAATTAAAAAAAGAAAAAGTTTTATAATTATATATTGGTCAATTGCGCAATTTCAGTGGTCTCTAGTCGCTACAGAACTTATGCTGGTTGACTAAATAGCTCTCATTTGGGCAATGAAGGTAATTAAAAAAATAATCTTCAGTACAAAATAAATGACTAGTATTGATTGAGAGTGTTGAGAGGGTGTAAGGCAATCCGGATTATGGAATCAGGAAAATTTTTGCAGGTGGAATCTGGAATTCTGGACTTTGGAATCGGGGATTCAGCTCAAGGAATCCGGAATCCCGCAAATGGGGTTCCACTGACCATGATTACAGAATGCACAGAGTGGAATCTAGGATTCAAGACTCTCTTGCCGTTACATGGGGCGAAATGTAAAAAAAAAGCTACATAAATGTCAGCTTGCAAAGAAACCTTACAGGTCCTTTCACTTGCGTGTACAACGGCATTAGGTGGTGATCATAGTTAGTAGCCGGAGACTGGCTAAGAAACCCGGCAAAGATCAGAGTTGAAAACAACGGTGCTGTAGGTTGAAAGCTTCCTGACCCTGCACAATCCTTTGTTTTTTGTTCACAAATTGTGCTGAATAAATTAATGCAATGTTTCTATTGATCAGTAAGTTCAAAATGATAGGAAAGCTATTGAACGTTATGCACGGTCAGGTCCAAAAAAGCTACCAAAAACATATAACAAACGGTTTCCCAACCATTCCACTTTAATTAACTATGGGTATACGGATAGTGTAACTAGCAAAATTTCCTGCCACCAAATTTGACAAGCTATAGCAACATTAACTTGGAAACGTCCGAGCTAACGTCGGTTCTGGTGGAGTCACACGATAGTCGGTTGCGTTGAAAAAATTAGAAGAATCCAGGACAAGAGTCATAGTCTCACTATGATCCGTTGCAATGAAAGAAACGAAAAATTAGAGAATTAAGGTGCAGGGTTTCCTGATATTTTCACCGAGAGACCGCTTTCTGGCGTCATTTGCTTTTTGAACTGATGGCCGTACCTACCATGAAATTAAATTTGATGTGGTGAGTCCACTTTACAGAATGTAGACTCTTGAGGTATTTCCCATTTTCGGTAAATATTTCATTCGGAACTGCAAAATCCTTTTTTGGGAGTTTGGGAAAAACCCTGAATGTTCACTCCTTACGAATGCTTACACCCTTTATATATTCAAACTAAAACATAAAAAGTAAGATTGTTTTTTAGAGTCGTAAAATTACCTGTGCTTACTCTTTTCCACAGATCACTTGGCCAATAACCTGTATTTGGCCACTCTTGAAGCACGCAATAATACTTTCCGTCAACGTTGTCAGTTTTCAGAAATGCAGAACAGTAATCGATGCTCTTAAATATTTTCTTGAACTGCGGTTGCGACTCGTTAAAGGCAGCCTCACACGTAGTTTTACAGGGAACAAGCAACGTGTTATTAGATTTGTTATCACAAGGAGGGGCTATCTCCATACATATTATTTTTCTGAGCGTGGAGTTATCCTTGCTGTTGTTAAATACATCACTAGTTTCCAGTATCTTCTGATATGCACTTGACACAGAAGTGTGGCTGTAACCTGCATGTGCACACTGGCTAATATTGAGCTCATGACACGTGACGTTATCTGAGTAAACTGCAAAAGAAGCAGTCGATTAGATATAAGTGAGGTTTTCAGTTTAACAAATAATTCTATGCAATTCATTGATCTCATAATGTTATTTCCGTTGATAATAACGATAATCAGCAATATTAATATTGAAAATGGTTGAGGATGTGAAGAATTATGCAGATCGGGGAGAATGTTTTCCACAGAGGCCTTCAACCCCGGTGGATAACACTAGCGATCCTCCTCGCTCTGCATAATTCTTTACATCATACGAAAGCCGAGTTCAATAATGTTTTTATTATTGATTCAAAATACTTCTACGTCCTTAACAAGCTTACCTTCTCGTTAACTAGTGGCCTATTTCTCGGCTCGGTTTCAGGATGTTACAAATGTTTTTCCTTGCAGATACTTCTTAAAAAGTTGATGACATATGTTTTGCCTATTCTTGCATTTATTCTGTGCAGTTCAAGTTTAGACGGAAATTCAGCTATTTTGCGCCTTCGTATAACCGTGAACGCCCTGAAACGAGGTTAATCAATGGTCTATTGCCCATGCATCCTCGTTTCCAATCAAATATACCTTCGGTTGGATGGTACCAAATTGCTTGCATCCTCCAAATTTGGTCAGCGCCGGTTGGTTTTGAAGATTTAATTGAGCCAATCAGAAACTATGAAATATTTGAATGAATAATAATTAAGAAATAATGATGATGGTAGCGATGACAGTAATAAATAGTGACGGTAATAGGACTCGGTCTGTAATCATACGAGAAAGTGATTAACAATATCTGACACCCGCGCAGGGGGTGTCTTTAAAACACTGGTTCTGCCACAGACAGACGACACAACTGTTACCAATTAATCATAACTATAACGAAGTTTGCGATATTTTGAGCTGTTTTAAAATTGAAATACATAATATTCCGAAAATTCTAGCCAATCTCGTAAACAGAGATCTTCTGTATTTTCCATAATCAAGTGCTTGCGCGCGATGGTGCGTGCTTTCCTAAGAACAAAATCAGTGTAGCTGATAGCCAATCAGATTTGAGAATTTTGTTAGAGTTATGCATACGATATTTTGCTGCTCTCAACGGTGGAGCGATTAATTGTTTGACTCAACATCTTGACATGTTATCTTTCTACGGTATTCAAGTTGATAGGTAAAGCAAATTACGGCCTTAAATCGGGCCTTATCTGTTTTCTCCGAACGTTTTCCTTGATACAAAACAGTACACGCGATAACCGGCTATTATGCCGAGATACAGTACAGTAACCACGTGGGCTTCACATGATTTTCATTAGGAATGCATTTAATCGGCTGATGCTATCTATATCTGCCAAGCGAAACGCCGGTTGGCGGTATCCAAAGTCCCATATTCGCCCCCTCGACAGCAAACACTTATATTCATTGCTTGAGTTTTTGTGGTTAGTAACACTCAAAAAAAGAATATTCTGCGTAATTATCAAAATGAAATATATTTTGCCAAATATAATATTCTCTCTTTTACCACCATTTAAGATTACACCATTATAAACTTAAGAGACTGTTTATCACTCCAAAAATTCTGCCCACGTTTGTTGCAAAAGAACGGCAGAAAGCTATTATATTTCTGACCACAACGGGCTATACGTGCTTTAGACATGACAACACGGAAGTAGTACGTCAATGTGGTGCACTTTTATCCTGCGCAAAAAAAAAGATCTAGGGCCAACGGTGCACTATCGACATTATCATATTCAGTGTCCATGATAACACGTAAACCTTGATTTAAAATATATTAATAAATTTTAAATACGTTTTCAATTTACTAACCTGCAGTAGTAGTATTAGAGTGGGCCATGGATGTTGGTAAACACTGGTCTGTGGGAAGAAGCTGACAAAGTCCATTGAACAATGTTAACAGTCCTTCGATGTCGCTTGAACCGTCTTGACAGTCGCTAACAAAACTTCTACAAGCGTCTTTACACGGTAATCTTGCTGAAGGACACTTACTACCAGGTAGGAAGATAGAGCAAGTCATAAGATTTGAGAACCGCGAACAGTTAAGCTTGCTCTGCGCTGCCTGAATTAAAATCGCCAGTTGTTGACTTTGTGGTGTGCTTGTTTTAAATTCAGACACGTTATAGCCAGCGTTAATGCAACTTCCAAACAGCGTTCGATTCAGCGGCTGACATGAGTTACTCGAGGCGAAATTTGCGAGTGAGTATTCAAAAGCGACGATAAGCAAAACCAACGAGAGAAGCTTCATTATTGAGCTGTTTCGGACGAGTATATCGTGGACGTGACAGCCGTGTATGTCTTGCGGGCAACCAGGAACTTTTTAGCTGTTAATCATTTTCTCCCGGTTCACCTCCGATTCCGCTGACTCATTGATGCGCTTGACTTGCTAGGGTGCGAAAATAAAACCCTTCAAAGATAAAATTGAAAGCTGTGACTCCAACAATATATCCACTTTTGTATTCGTGACTAACTGCAACACTCAACACGCATGACTGCATTTTGCCATTGCCGGTGGCGAGCGGCGAAAAAACAATTCACTGGTCTGACTGCAATCCACGGCCAAATCTGCACGGCCAGAAAGACATCCAACCTTTTTTTCCTGTCGCCTTGAAAACTAGCCTATTCTTATTTACTCGTCAATAATCACTTCTTTGAACAGTTCCAGAAAAATAATGTTTTCAGGTGCCTAGTTGAGCGAATGATAATTATGCGAATTGTTTTGGTTTCGTTAATGGCTTTGTTTTTGTGGCACTTTCATTTTTTATTGACATGTGATTTTGCACCATATAGTAATATTTACGAGCGTTAAAACTTCACTTAAATCACTATATAAACATCGTAGCTCGGGTAGCTAGTATTTGCTCAAACTAGGAATACGACAGAAAAGATAAAAAAAAAATTTCCCCAGTCTGTGGTTTCTTTTTCATTTTCTTTGTTTTTTTTTTTTCTAATGGGAGCAGCTGGTGGAAGATTGTGCGGACGATTCTTTTCATTTCAACACAACGACTGGCGTCACACTTTCACGAGTTCACTGTCGCAAGGGACACTTGCTTTTTTTTTTTAAAAGAAAGCTAAACGGATATACTAGCTGTTCTAAGTTTTCTGACAGACCAAATGCCGAATATACCACATGCAGTCTAATGGCATAGGCAGCCACGAAAGCGACGGCGAGACTGGCGTCATTGCTCTTATTTCATCACGTTCAATTTGTCAACAAATTTTCTGGATTTGAATTCTAAGGACTGTATCTAAGTTCAGAAATTAAATAAAAAGAAAGTCGTTGCCTTGTATTCGAAGGCAAAGAAATTGTTCCATAAAAAGCCTGATACACCTGCAAAGTTGTTATTTTAAGCCTGCTGGCTTTTTCGCCTCGTTCCCCCGCTTTTTTTGGTCTGTGGTTGCTTGAGCTCGGCTGTAGCACCAATCAGAAGCTGGAAGCCACTGTATATTCCTAATTTAGCTCAGAAGTGCTGTAATATATAGAGAGGATATTATATGGTGGCGCAAAGATATGAATTTTATTTTCGAGTTGTGAAAACAATATTTTACGAAAGAACGCATTAAGTAAGTAAGCCGTTTTATTAAGATGGTCTATTACACTTAGCTTACGAAAACAAAAGGAAAACAAAAACACTAAGATACAATATAAAATATCTATCTACAATATAAAATCTGAGGATATGTTAGTAATAAAATAAAATAAAACTATGTGCAATTTAATAATAATAAAAATAAAAACTATTTACAGATCAATAAAACTGTGTGACGTCAATTTTTTCAAGAGTCTGTTAAAGCTACTTAATAGATTGGTCTCATGTCTCAATGCTTCCGGTAATGCATTCCATATCTAAGGGCCGGGTATCGCAAAGATCTCAAACCTTGCTTTGTAGAGCTGACGTTCGGTATTATTAGAATAGGGAGTTTAAGATCCAACGACGCGGACGACAACTAGAACGTCAAAAAAACAATAGGTTTAATTAGCAAAACAACAACTTCGCACGTGCAACACACTTTTTTGTTTATTTCTTTCCTGTTTTTGCACGACTACGACGTGAAAATGCCTAATTTCGCGTTTTATGGAGGACGTAAACAAGCAAAGACGAAATTTTATTTCTCTTTCTGAGCTTGAATATGGTCCCTTGAAATTCAGCTTCAGGAGGGTTCGCCTACAATTGACAAAGTAAGTGGGTAGGAATAATCGCTATAAAGACTGAAAAAACTCAAATTCACTTTTTAAGGGACGTTCTTGTCGCCGTCGCGCCGTTGGATCTTAAAGTCCCTAATATCTTACCACGAAGATTATAGGTTGAAGCTCGTCCTATTATTAATTCCTTTAGGGTTGACTCGAGTGCCAATGTTTAGCACTATGAAGACAGAGCTAGCAATCTTCATGATTCTTTGATGAGGCATGCAGTTCCTAGTTAATTTCTTAAGTAATTCTGTGTAAGAACTGCTTTTGTCTTTGAGCACGAAGGGAAGAGCTCTTTCGTTAACTTTTTTCATTTTATTGGATGCGGTTTTATTACAGAAATGCCAAATATCAGAACATTAATCAAAATGGGGGGCAATAAATGATTGATAAGTGTTTTAACTCAAGAGGTAGAATGCCTCTCAAGCGTTTCAGCACTGAAAGCTGTTGGCCTACGTTTCTTTCACGTTGGCGATCTGTTTATCAAATTTCAGCTAGTTGTGAATGGTGACACCAAGGAGAGTGAGGTCTTCACTAACTGATATCGTTGTATTATCACAAAGGAACTTTGGTTTCGGAGTTTGTAAGTTGCCATGACCATAAGCCTTTGATATTTTGAATGGTTCCGTTTCATCCCGTTTGCGTCATACCATCGATCAACAGCGGCTACTATATCGGCCATTTCGTGCAGTTTGTCTGGTTCTGTCTCAGCGGCGAAAATCTGAGTGTCGTTATCGTAAGTGGATAAGTCGCAGTTCTTTATTACATTAACTAGATCGTTCATAGACATTTTGAATAATTTACCGACGGGCCGGAGTATCGATCCCTGGGGCACTCCCGAACCAACTTCTTGCCAGGAGAGTTTCTATCCCCAAGCCACGTTAACGATCCTTAACTCTCTGAAGACGATTTGAGAGGTAGTCCTTTATGAAGCTAAGTGTTTTTAAATGAAGTTGATGATGATGATGATGATGATGATGATGTCCAGCGCCGTAGCATGGGAAGGGGCCGGTGGGACCTGGGCCCCCCCACATAATTTTGACAGGCAGGTTTGATTTGGTCAGCGGCCACGCTTTTCACCCTGCTCTTCGGTTCAATGTGTTCATTTCGGTTCAATAAAGCGTGAAAATTGTTTATTTAGGGCTTCAACAAAGAAAAATCAAGCCGGTATTAAACAAAGTGCACTACTTAAATAGGTGAGACCTGGAAATTATTGCTCTCAGAAGGCTGAAAATGCTATTTCAAAGACCCTACAGTTCAAAATCTCCGGGGGAGCATGCCCCCGGATCCGGACCCCCCTAGCAGCTCGTGTCTTCGGCGCTCCTGATTGCCCCCTACCCCCGCCAATAAATCTAACCTTGCTACGACACTGGTGTCTTAACTACTGAGGCGTAGTTTAGATACAAGTAAGTTGTGCGGCAGGGTGTCAAATGCTTTACTTGAGTGAGTGAAATATTGTTTTTCACCACGAGAAAATATATTTCTATCTTCAAGGCACCTTGTAATTTTCTTTTATTATGTAGACAATAGTTTTTACCATTTTTCTTTCTCATAGTCCCAGCACACACGTAATCGCGAACTGCTGTAGTTCGGCGGCAGAAATTTCTTGAAGTTGTCTCCTTTCGTCTACACTCGAAGGAACGCCTTGAATAATTTTACGTCATACAAAATTCAGTTCTTTTTCGTATTTTAAAAAATTGTACGCAAAAACCCGCTGGTGCTCCACTGAGGAACTATAAAAATGGGCAAGAAAGCAAGCGAACAACTGATTTGTCACCCGCAAACATTTCGCAGGATATATGCACTGTTTGGGGCTACTATATAGTGCCACACACCAACCTAGCTGGTAGTTTCAGTCTGTAGCGACAGGGGACGCGGGATCATTGCTCTCGCGCAAATTCAGAAACTCAAGAGATGTCATCTTTTAACCAGTAATAGTTTTATTGTGTAGTGTGGCGTGGTTTTACCGTAGTAAACTGGGTGTTCAGTTACAAATAAGTCCCATAGATTAGACTAGATAAAAAAGTTTTAAACATTCCTTTTCGGCTAAAAAATCTCATTTAGTCTGGGACTAACTTTGGGCCAACGCTTGAATCGGAAGGAAATTGAATCAGGCTTTCTTGTTCTTAACAGTTAAAGTCAGCGCGGCGAGATCGCTCACGAGAATTTCGGTTAAGGAAGTTGATCGTTCGTAAAGCCTGTTGAGTGTATCTGATTGGCCATTTTGAAATCAGGCGTGGGACTTATAGTTGCACTATGGGACTCTTTTTGGGACGTTATCGCTTCAGTATTGGCTAATACGAGGCTGTAAAGGAAACAGGATTCGTCCCAAAACAATCCTATAGTGCAGTTACTGCATACACCAGCTCAGAGTCAAGTGCGACTCAAGTGCGACTCGCAAAGCCTGTTGACTGTACGTATCTGATTGGCCAATTTGAAATCAGGCGTGGGACGTACAGTTGCACTATGGGACTCTTCAGTGGGACATATCGCTTAGTATTGGCTAATATGAGGTTGCAAAGGAAACAGGGTTCGTCCCAAAACAATCTTAAAGTGCAGTTACTGCATACACCAGCTCAGAGTCAAGAGCGACTTGAAACCTTTATAGCCAATAACGGTTTTCTGTCTAGTACGTTTGCTCAGGCATTGATTTGTAGGGCCCTGACTGGATTGTCAATAGTCTGTTCCAGGCTCCAAGATAAAAAAGATGCAAAAAACGCACGGGGGCTGGGGGAGAGAGATGGCGGTCTCTCTCCTATTTTGTCCCGCAACCTCCCCCTTCACAGGATTCCTTACTTCTTATTCTCACTTAGCTTGTTTCATTTTCGCGCAGTTCCTTCTATCTGAGAGCCTGACACAGGCTAGATTCCAAAGGGTTTAACAAGTCATTATTAAACTTTACCTTACTATTTCTCATAGCCTGCGTAGCAAGCGTTTCCGTGCGGTTTATAGGGAGCTTAAGCAAAGGCGTTTTTAAGCTACGGACGTCAACCGGAAGTGAGGCCTTTTCCCTCTAAACGTGCCTTGACGATTTAAAATTTGTATAGCTTAGCTTCTTTACTCTTATAGAGGCAATTTGACTGAAAATTTGGGCAAAATCATCGTCCAAAAATGAAAAAAGGCTACTTCCGGTTGACGTGCGTTGCTCAAAAACGTTGTTGCTTAAGCTCACTTATATTAGGAGCAAAGAACGAGGAACGAGAGTCAAAGACCGCGCGAAAAATGGCGCAAGTAAAAGAGCGGGGATGGGTGGGGAAGAAAGGAAGGAAACGTCCCTCCCCCTCCCCCCACTTTCGTTTTTTGGCTCTTGTTTCATTTCTCGCGCAGCCAAAACCGAGAATCCCGTTCCTCGGTCTTTCTTTGCTCCAAAACCAAACAGAAACGCTTGCTACGCAGGCTATATTTCTCAGGACCCAGTCGTTCATTAGGTAGATAGCGCTATCCACTGAATAAATCGCTTTCCAGCGAATAAGTGAAACCAGTTGCGCTATCCGCTGGAGAGAGATTTATCCTATGGATTCAGACTTTTGGGCAACTTGGACCGGTTGTTCGACTAGCCACACTGTTAAGGCTTTTCACGCTTTCGACCCACTGTGCATGACGTCTAAGAAAATCACTGGCATTTCCTTTTTTTACCCATTTACTTTATAAACTACAATTTTACAAATTATTACACAACTCGTAGAATTTCTAAACTACTGCACTACTAAAAGAAAAAAATAGTTAAGTAAAAATTTGAAATTCGTCTTCTCTGTCCTCGGAATACAGAACTTGTTTTTGATAGTCAAACTGACGAACTTTCTTCCTCCTATACCACACAAAACCTACAACTCCTAGAACAATTAGAATTAAAAAAGCAAAGGTGACCATACACCCTACTAAGAGTTTATTTGGGCCAGCAGATCTTTTGTCTTTCTGGAGTCCTTTGACAGCTGGTGAAGGTATGTCTAGAAGGAAACAAAATCATGAATATGAAAACGATAGGTTTTGGTGTGCTTCACTCAATTCTCTGTGGCACTAACTATTTGTTCACGCTGCGCATGAAGTTCTGACATGAAATTACAAGCAATGTCTCCTTCACAAATTATTATTCGCATATTGGGAGAAGAAAGCGGCTTTGTAAAGACGTTTCGAACCCGGGGGGGGGGGGGGTTACTTGGGTAAATTTTTGCTGGGTATGTGCCGCTGGCCTCTCAGAGCCCCTACCCCATTATAGTCTATTTTCCGGGCAATTGTAGACCCCATCTCAGTCCCTTTTGGGCAAATATGTAATTTTTTCGCGATCCCAACTTAGTCACTTTCTATTTATGTATCTATCTTATCAATCCTTTAAATAGGTCATCCAAAAATGAATTGACCCATTTTTTAATAAATTGAATGAAGAACAGTTTACTTTCCACCTACAGTACAAATATTCTGGTACTTTTACTAAGCGTAGACATGAACAACTTTCTTACCCCAAAAATACGAATTGTGCGAACCCACTCTAGTAACTCTATTGAAACCAGCGGCACATCCCCATTAGCCTCTTATAAGGAAGTGCCCCCCCCCCTCCGGGAATTCGAATACCTCCATGTAAGTGAATCCAAGACAGTATTGGATTCTGGATTCCAAAACGTGGATCCCAGATTCGAGGTAAGGGGTCCTGGATTCTTTGTTAAAGATTCCAGATTCCTTCAGCTGTATTCCGGACTCCAAAGTCCAAAATTCCGGATTCCATAAACAAAAATTTTCAGATTTCGGATTCCCTTATATGGGGCAAAAGTGGAAGATTCAGGCAATTTTAATCCACGTGCTGTTTATATCAAAATTCTAACATGACACCTAGGCTTTACCGACAAAATCGAAAATTTTTGTTGAAGATTCCATTGTCTCGTTTCTCCCAGAAGAGAGTAGAGTACAATGAAAACCAAACCAAACAGAAATAAGACCAGAAAGCCTCAGAGTCACGTATACTGAACATGGCCCATTAAAACCATTATCCCGCTCGAAGCACGCTAATCGATCGATAATCGCCCTGTTAAACCTTGTACCGAGCGAGGGCTTTTCCTCCAGAATCAGGGACAAGCCCTCGAACAAGATTGCGTTATATATTTTTTTAAGGTATAAAAACCTAAACTGCAAAATGATTTAAGATCTGTACCTGTAGTGGTCGAAGGGTTCTCATCGGATGTACTCGACTTATCTAATCGTAGTGTAAGCAAAACAAATTACATCAGAAACGTTTAGTTAACTTTTTACTGCCTACTGATCTCATGCAAGACAGTCAATACTTAAGAGATTCATAAAACCTCGACATAAGAAGTAACCACCCCATTCAACCACGTTCCCAGGGCTTTTCCCCCAGAACTGGCGAAAAAAAACTTGGAACAAGACTGTGTTGTATTCAGTGTACAAAAACCGGGACTGCAAAATGATCTGAATGAATTAAGCTCCGTACCTGTAGAGTTCGTAGGGATCTCATCGGCTTTATTTGACTTATCTAATGGTAGTGTAAGCAAAACATATTGCATCAGAAACGTTTAGTTAACTTATTACTGCCCACTTATCTTATGTAAGACAACTCAGTGTGTAAGACATTAATAAAACCTCGCCTTAGCGCCTTTCTCTTAGTAAACTGCCGAGGCGTGTATTTCTCTGTTCGAGTTTGTGGAGAGATCCCAGGAGTAACAGGAAAACGTGTTCTATAAGAGGGGCACCCTGGCCTCAATTAAGTGGTCACTTCCTTGAAATCCTTGGAGTGATATCAGAGTTTAAATATATCAAAAGCGGGCGGTTAAAAAATTTCCCACTCGAAGCATGATAATAGCCCTATTCAACCATTCGGCCAGGGCCTTTCGCCCAGAAATGGAGGAAAGCCCTTGGAACAAGATTGGGTTATATTGTTCATTGTTACGAGAGTAAAAAACCAGGCCTAGGTTGTTCAAACGTTGGATAGCGGTATGTCCACCGGATAAATCACTATCTAGCGGAGATGTATTACGGGAAACCAGGGCGGATAAAGGTTGAGCGGTGAAACGAGCGCTCCGCTCTTCATTCAATGTGTGATGCGGAGTAGGACTGGCACGAGCGCTCTTTCTGCGCTTCCGGTACTCTTGAAGGCCGGTGAAATTTTCCTTTTTGCAAACCGGAAATCCTATTTTCTTTCTGTAATTTCAGGCTACAATGTTGAATAGATAAATTTGTTTCATAACAATATTAATAAACAGTTTCATGTCTTAATGTTTGTATAATGCCTAAAAGTCAAAGTTGTTGGTCGTGTAATGCCAAAATTTGGGTTCAATTTGAAAGTGTTGAATACCTCCTCCTTCTGCTAAATATGACCTAATCGTCTTTCCCCTTTTCATTTGCAAAATTTAACACTTCTTAACCGTAATTTTTACATATGTTAAAGGGGGATAAATTTTACATAACATAACAAAAAATTAGCTTGATATATTTTGATATAGTGGCGTTGTACTACTTTAAACATTGCTTCTCGAGAGCAATGCGCCATGGCGATTCGAGCAATGCGTCGCAAATCCGACAACCGCATGTAAACAAAATTTATTGAGGTTAATTATAGTTTTTTTTTCTCCGTTTTTCTCTCTAAAACAAAACAAAGTAAACAGTAAACACTGAGGGAAAACTGATTTTGAAGTTCCGAAGAAACAGGAAGACGTACGAGATGTTTTTTTCAAAATTAAAAAGAAGGATGATGGTGATTGAAATTAGCATAATTACACCTTGCACGTGCTGCACGCATTTATAAAATACATGGGTCATCTGTAGTTATGTTTAACTGTTACTCCTCGGTCCTTTCCACTACTCCAAGCAGAGAGATGCCTCGATTTCTCAAGACAAAGGTCTAGGCTTAAGGCGAAGCAGATGGCTGCTGACAAGTAAGGGTGTTCCATGAGTTGGAATCCGGAGTAACTGCAAGAAACAGCTACAGCCAGCGGGAAAGAGGAAGAGGCCTTGAGCCCGTAAACCACCGGGTGAGTGGGTTGTCTTCTAAGGACTTTGGACATGCGCGTGAGTGCAACGGGCGATGGCTTGACTGATAGGGATCGGAGCAGGACTCGGAATTAATAGGATGAAAGTGGCATAGACGAAATCTGCTTCTTTCACCTTTTGCTTGCTTTCCCCTGAAAAGTCTCCACCAAGGCCCAAAATTGCGAGCAGAGTAAGCCGCATTTTACCAAAAGAAAAACTACTACAGCCGCGAAGTAGTAATACTGCGTTTCTTTGTCAGTCGCGTGTGTTACTCGAAGGCGTCACAAATCAATAATTAAAACTGATTTATTGCCTAAATATCGTTGTAATGGTTTTATTCAAGTATTGACTCAAAGTTCAGGGAAAACACATTAATATAAATTAAAAGGGAACATTCACCTTTGAAGCTGTCTATAAATTACGTCGTTGCATGTCCTTACATGTTTTTTAAAGTTATTTTGGGTTAGCGTAGTAAACGTTCAGAAATCTCAGTTTGCTGCTGAAAAGTTTGGGGTGCTACAGGAGCAACGTCTCTCCAGAGTTCCTCCTTTTAACGGGTAGCGCATCTCTTCTAGACCTCTATTTTCAATTTGTCTCTATAATCTGCACCTCTTACTGTTTGGGCCTTTTCATCTATTGTTTAGTCAAACCAAGGACAAGCGTCATTTCAAACGGCGCAATTGTCCCTCCCTGATACGGAGGGCGTGTAAACTGTGTATTTGAGGTAGCAAATAGTGAAACTGGTTGCAAAAAATTGTTTTAGTTATACAGAATTAAGGTTGCTCTGAGTTAAAAGGAAATGTATGGTAAGGGAAAATTTAGGGAGGATGTCCAAGAGGGTATGGAACAGTCTTGAAAGAGGGGGTCAAGGGAGATCAGGGTGCATGCAGATCCTATTGTAAACTGCAATTCTGATTGTGTTTTCAGCTGCTTGAAATACGAAAGCCCTGCAGCCAATATTTACTAATAAAAAAAACTCATAACGTTGATTTTCATTTAACTGCCAATGCTGGAAGTTAATTACCAGGCATATAACAAAGGAGTCCGTAGAAGCGGAGGGGAGAACCCAAGGGAAGCTGCGGTTGAGAGTTGCACCGGCGGCGAGGCCTTCAAAACCTTGAACTTGTTCAAGGCAAGTCTTTCATTTCGCCACCTCGTTTAACCCTTCAAGCACTAAGAGTGATCAGCGTCAAATTTCTCCATGTAATATCAATGCTTTATAAAACAGAGTGGTCATGAGAATTAAGGACATGATCACACAAGATGAATGTAATTGATACTTCAACAAATTCTCCCCACTATTTCTACTGAAAACGTATAGGGATAACAAATGAGAATTTGAATTTTGATGTTAAGGTTTAAAGGGTTAAGACAAGCGACCTTATTCTATGATCCCGATTCATTTCGTTTGTCCAACACAATTAAGTAGCTTTTTAGGAATAAGATTTTTTGTTTTCACAAATTTAGACTTTTATCGCCAATTTTCAAACTCTTTTAAAGGCTTCTGGTCCAAAAATACAACCTTTTTCAAGACGCTAACTGGTGATGAATTGTATCAGGCCCTTTTCACTTCCCAAGCACCTGAAAACTATACTCTGTCAGAGTCGAGAGCGGCGCATACCCGTTTAGGCCAAAAAAGGGATTTCTTGCCGGGGGATTCCACAAACGTAAACGCGAGAATCTCAATTTTTTATAAATAAAAATCTATCGAGGGGTTTAAAAAGTATTCGCTAATTTGTCAAAGTAGACCAAAATGTTTACAAAACCGTCAACAAGAGCCCCTCGATACATGCTAATCAAATCCATCTTTCTAGCAATTGGCTAGAATTATCTCCATGATCTTTCACACACGTTTTTAAAAAGATTGAAACTACTATGAGGCGAAATTGCATTTCAAAAGCGCTTCGTTTTTTACAGATAACGGCCGAACATCAAGATTGTTCATTTTTTTACCGTATTTCTAACCATAAAAACTTCATCCCAAAATATCTCGATAACGCTGTTATAGATTTCGCTTAAACTTCACGAACATTAAGACGACTATTGGAGGAAAAAGCTCGTGTAAACGATTTAGGAAGAACGGTTCTCAGTGGCGAGAAATGCGGCTGCAAGTCAAATAGGTGGTGGTGTTATTTCGTTGCTATGACAACTCCGATGTCATTGCAATCCTGACCATAACAAACTTTCATCTTTATCTAATACAGCTGTGCTGGTAATTTTTCCAAATCTTTGTTAATGGCGACGTATACGTAGTTTATGCTGAAACTTGGGAGGTATTGACCCTGAAAAACTGTATCGAGCCACCTTAACGGTGTAACTCGCCAATACTAAAGTTTACTTAACTATATTTCAGGTCCCAGTCTTTCAAAAGCGAGATAGCGCTATCCATTGAATAAATCACTTTCCGGCAGTGGATAGGGGAAACCACTGGATAGTAATTTACCCAGTGGATTTAACCTTTTAAACGACTGGAATCTGCTGATGAACTTTTCAAGGCTTTTCAAGCTTTCGACCCTGTAAGTGTGTATGAAATACTCATTTGACTACGGGGTCTAAGAAAACCCCTGGCATTTCCTTATTTTGGTCCGTTTGACAAACTACAATATTAATTTTACAAATCATTATAAAACTCGTAAAATCTGTACTATTGATTTACTAAAAGAAAAAACTGTTAAGTAGAAATTTCAAATTCGTCCTCTCTGTCGTCGGAGTAAAGAACTTGTTTTTGATAGTCAAACTGACGAACTTTCTTCCTCCTATACCACACAAACCCTAGAACTCCTAGGACAATTAGAATCAAGAAAACAAATGCGACGACAAGCCCAACTAAGAGCTTATTAGAGCCAGATTTTTTGTCTTTCTGGAGTCCTTGAACACCTGAAGGAGGGATGTCTACAAGGAAACAAAAACATGAATATCAAAACGATTGAGGTTTTGAGGTGTTTGGCACCAAAGTTTTGCGGGGTTCTAACTTTTGCGAGTTTTGCAGATTTTTTTCCAAAATTATTACCAGGAATGTTTTCTCCGTAAATGTTCATTTGATGTTGATTGAGACACAGAGCATAACTCTAAAGACAAAGTGAAATACCGTTGTTAACCAGACCGACAATGTTGTTCTCCGTTCGCTAAAACAGTCAAATTTATTGTTTTCAGTCAAATCTCAAATTTCCACATTTTCTTGTGTGTAACTCTGACGAGATTACACACTAGTTTTGTTTGGTCACTTAAAAAAAATAGCCGCGCGATGTAGTTGGGCATGGGCACGATAATCGCCCCATTCAACCTCTTTCCCAGGGCTCTCCTCTTATAAAAGTGGGAAAAGCCCCAAGAAGGTGATTGCGCTCTACCCTTACGAGGAACAAAACCAAGATTATTGCTCATTAAAGCTTCGTACCTGTGGTTGTTGGCTCCTCATCGGTATCTAATGCTAGTGTAAACAAAAGATGAAACTTCATAAGCATTCAGACTAAATTATGGTACACACTACATCAAAACAGCTGACCTGTGGGAGCCCCGCCATTTCACTTCGTAATGGCGGGAAAAACCCTCTTTCCGTTCAAGTGACGGGAAGGTTCTGAGAACTTAACGGCTAAAGCTATAAACCGGTCACTTATAGTCCCATTATAATAAGTAATTTTCATTGTTTTCTGCTCTGTTTGTGGTCCCCCCTTTAGGGTGAATCAACGCAAGTTTGACTGTAGATTGCAATTTTAATCCATTTACAGGGCAAACTGTAGCTTAACAGAATACAAGATGAAGAAGGAATGACAAAGTTAACGGCCAGCCACTAACAACAACGACAACAACGTCACGTTGATATTATGGACTGCAAGCAATAAAACCCCCTGGGCCGAATTGTTCAAAGCTCGGTTAAGACTGAACCAAGGGTTAGTGCGAGATTTGAATTCAGATTTGAAAGCTTAAAAAGCATTTCAGTTTTAATTCTTTGTGTCTACAGGTTGATGATTGGAAGCTCTAAAAATAACAGAGAAAATTATCCGAGAGAATGCTTAAAAGTAATAGGGCCGAGAAAGAACAGGGCGCGCGAGAGAGACACGCGAGGGGAGAAGGAGTGGCTGTCCGAGAGGCCCATGAAAATCGTTTTTTTCCGCCTTCTGAGAGTGTGGAAAATTTCTTGGTTAAGAGGCTTTGGGAGGGGTACGTATTCGCGTTGGAGAGAAAACTGTCAATCAAAGAAAACCTGAGATAGTTTGTAAACATGTTGCACAAGGCAGCAGTGAAGGTCTTATCACACCACTAGCCTGCGTAGCAGGCGCTTAAAAGTAAGAAGTAGAAACATGATGATCACGATATGAAAAAAAAATCAAGTTGCTAACCTGTTTTACTTGAAGGTTCTCGAGATGTAGGGGTACCTGATAAATGAATGAGATAATTCAGTTACTGATGACTGTTGAAAAGTACAGTTGGTTGCTGAGCGATTTGAACACGGGACTAACGATATTTAACGAAACAGCTACAGAATGTGGGAGCGCTTTTTCGACTTTTTCACAACAATAAAATGTACTGTTAGCCCCCTTTGATATACTTCCCAAGCCTTTCATTTTGCTCAACAAATGAAATCCCTACTTTTTCACTCCTCTCTTGTTTTTCATAAACCTGAAACCTGAAAAAGTTACCCTTTTCGGCCGAAGCCTCCCCCGTATAGGTCATTCCCCGGGTAGTTCCTCCGCTTAACGGGTGATGCATCTCTTCAGGGAAAACCTCGATTTTTAATTTCGTCCTATAACCTGCAGCTCGAAGGTGTTAGGTTTAGGGGGTTTGGACCCTTTATCTATTGTTTTGAGAACTACTGACACCCATCGTTTCAGAGTGCACTTATCCCCCCTTAAATTCTAGCCTTGATATAGCCTCGCTCCTCGCTCCTCGCTCCTCGCTGCCACGGACGTTTCACAGAAGAGACGTCGTCTTTTCTGTGAAACGTCCCTAGCGGTGATGAGGACCGAGGAGAGGCGGCTGTATTCGCTGGCTAGCAACCAGGCTAGCCCTGACAGAGAGCGCGTGTGAACTGTGCATTTGAGATAGCAAAACAGCTAAACAGCGAAACTGATGGGGGCATTTTCCATGACCATTCACCAAAAACTTTCGGAAACTTCCATGGAAAGGTCCATCGAGTGAAGAACGTGTTCCATTTGACACAAGTTGCATTCGCTTATGCTGTTGTCACCAAAATTCAAGATGGTGGCACAAATATCGCCGTGAATAACCTGGAACAGGTGATTCCTTGTGAAAACTCGTAAATCGAACAATCATGCTAGTACTAGCTACCTTTTCAAATTCCACTTATTCCTGGGAAGTCTCCAGAGGAACGCCCGACAAACGTGTGTTCATTAACATCCCCACCGGAATTTCGGAATTTCTTGGTAAATGGAAAGCGCCCTGGGTAAACCAGTCTCACCTGAAATCGCTGTCGGCGTAGCACTAGGAGTTTCAGTCAACGGCCAATTCTCCGAACGGGGCCAGTGCGTCTGCTTACATACAACATGGTTATGGCTGTCTTCTTTCTCAGGAAACTCCATACACATATCTCTCCCATAAAAGAAAGGTGACTTGCACCTGTTAAAAAATCTCAGACATTCGTCTCTACAGAGAAAGCCGACTGTTCCATCCATGCAAGCTGGTAAATTCTCCGCACAGACTATTTCTTTCCGTCCTTGGCTACAAGTATCACTCGCGTTATACCTGATCTTTGATCGAATATAGGCTGCGTACCTACGTTGTAGGCTGGGTGATACTACTGTCTTAGTGTAACCAGGGATACGTTGGCATTCTGGAATAACCACATCTGAGCAGTTGTGCTTGTACTCTAAAGAAATAAAGTAGATATTATTAGAAAAGTATATTTGACAATTCATCCTTAGCGTGAGTATATCAAGTTTTAGTAAAATCCAACTAGTGGTCTATTATCAATGCTGAGTTCTGATTGGTTGAGCTACTACTAGGCTATAGTCTATCCCAACGTCAATTTTCGGAAAATATCTGTTCGGAAGACGATTTGTGATCTAGAATTTTCGGAACATTTGTTGTAAAATTTCTTGCTTGCCTGCCTCTCCTAGGATTTTCGAACGTCTCAAAAATGGTATAATTGCCCATTTTTAACGAATTTTTACACTGTAAAGGTCACCCAGAATTTTCGGCAGCCTTCAGTTTCTGGCTGAAATTTTCGAAAAAGTAAGTTTTGATCCCTATAATTTTCGGATCACTAGACTTTCAGCTAGGAAATCTGAACAGAAGAAAAATTTTTTAGGGGATAAAAATATGTGTATATCTACCGTTTAAATGCTAAAATACGTTCAACAATGCTATGATTAAGTGGTTTTGAACTATATTCTCGATGGGTGCCCCTGATGTTATAGCCCACTAGTAGCGAAAAGCGCCGCCTTTTTGGCGGTAAAAAAGGTTAAAGTCTAGCTTTAAGTAGCTAATTTTTTTTCTATTCTCGATATTCAGTTTAACCAACTAGTTGGATTTTACTATGAAAACAATTATTCCTCTCGCCCTTAGGCTATTGACTCAGAGCCCACTCGGGCTCGAGGAATAATTGTTAAAGATTGGAAAGATACCTACCCAGAGAATCAAGATGGAAGAGCTTATTCCAGTGCGCCGTGGTTTGACCACTGTGACGCTGTGAAGTGAGATTTTTGACTTAAAAACACCCGTGAAGCCTGTTGCTCGGCGTTGCGACAAATGGAGCCATCAGAATCCAAGATATTTTTTATCCTTCTTCACGTGAAATACGCATACCGTTTGACTTGCGGTATAATAATAAAATTTCTTAAGTGATTCAAAATGGCGCCGACTCGGTGTACAATAAAGACTACTTTGAGATATGAGAATCCAAGAAATTGCTTTAAGACTTCTAGACGCGACACGTAGATGACATAGTCTTGCTTTAATTTTGAGTCTTAATAAGTTTCACACGAGTTGAAACCCCCTCCCGTGGAAAGAGGCTGGCCGTAGCTCTGAGAGTAGTCCGAGAGTGCACAATGATTTCATTGTCGTCATTGTTACCACGTAAAATACATTATGTAGAACTTTTGTATCTATCTGTTTTTTTGTTTGTAGTAACCATGCAATGGGACTTTTATCTATTTAACATTTTTAACTATTTTTTTGCTAAATTTGCAACTTTGTATCCAATAGAATATGGCTGACGAGAAAAACAAACAAACGGCAAACGAAACAAGACAAGTACGGGGACGTTTTAAAAGCAGGATTATAACTACCAACATTAATTTAGTAGAAACATATTTAAAATGCCAAAAGAGATCTACATGGTACGGCAGGCGACAACCCGCAACCGTAAAATGGCGGGAAACTCTCGACCACGTGGTTTTCTGTGCTGTCCTCTAGAGCGAAGGTGTTTGAGCCTTATAAAATAAACGTCAGATGGAAAAATAAAATGACTAAGGGCTTCAGATAACACTGTGTCTGGAGGCAGCATGTTACTCTTAATGTTTTGAGGCAATTTTTGGTCATACGATAGCTCTTTTAGTTATGTCGTTCAACATCTCCTGTCTCAAAAACCGAGACATCTTGTTATCTATCTTGATGGTCCATTGTTGATAAAAAGGTACATTAATATTCAATTTTGTATGTTTAAACAAGTCACGAACGGAACCAAAGATATGTGGACTCTTGTAAAATCCGGTTTTAAATGATTTCGCGAGGAACCAATATAAGGGTAGTCAGAAATATCTCAAATGCCGTCAGCATTACGTTTCAAAATATTTTGATAACCCTAATAAATTCGATAGCTTTTTGAAATAACAAAATTTGAGATACATGAAGATGGGTTTCAGCACTGACCGAGGGACAAAGAAAATCGAAAACTAAATCTGCTTACCATCCTCAGCCGTTTTTCTTTAAGTATTTGTACATAAGCTGATAATTAGACGTTTTTATCTTTCCCGGCGCTCGAGTAGTTTGTGAGAACAATAAACTTATCACTTGCTAATGCGTTAAAATGCAAATCTGTTAGTATTTTAGCTTTACTTCAAATGCACGCTGGGTGCAGAAGACTACGATAGTCATGATTCTGTAATACTTACTTTTTCCGCTCACTATGTAGTTAGGGGGAGTGAAGCATCTCTCTCTGTATCCCTTAGTAGTCTTGGGGTTGTCTTTCTCTGGAAGAATATCACACATAGCTACTGTCCATTCAAGTCCTCTGGTCCGAATGATTTCATTGCAATCGTTTGCGAAGTCGTAACAGACTCCTCGGCAGGGTAGATAAGGTCCACTTATCTCCTCTGTGCACCGCGGTAGAAAGAGAGAACAAATCATCGTATCAACGAAAAGCGAGCAGTTCTTGAGAACGTTTTTCAGAGATATTATTGCCCGCGAAGCACTGTTGAAATGATGTCCGTGAGTGTACCGAGCCGTAAGGTTGTAGCCGCAGTGTAGATGAAGGTTAGGGATCGTTTTGTTAATTTGATCACAATGCTGCTCGGCACAAGAAACTCCAGTAAAGAAAATGGCAAACGGCAGGAAAATGGAAAATAGCCTTGTCTTGCACCTGAAGAGAGAAAAAATATGGAAAAAGGCGGTTTCATCACTTAATCTCATTTCATTTATGTATTTCGACACGTGAACCAAAAATCACGCTGTCAAAAATCTGATACTTACAACATCGTCAAGCCACTTTTAATAGCTTGATAATGGTTTCTTCAGTTGTTTGTGTTCCTGTAACAAACTGATAAATACACTTTAAATGTTCAGACTGAATTTTTAACTGTTCAGATTGACTCCAGTGTTTACTAGAATCGGACGGCGCGCGAGGTCTGACTCAGTGACTGTATAATGTGCGAAATGCAAATTCAGGTCATTCAATTCTTTAACGGGTGGCTGCCTCTGAAAAACTTCTACAAAGTAGGTCACTTTCATCAAGTGAGAGATGGAAGGGCTTGATTTCTCCCGACAATTATATTCCCAACAAAGGGGTGACTTGATTTATATTAAGCCTGTAGCGAGTATAACATTAATTAGTTTTCGGTAACATAACATACCACAAAATCAAGATAAGACAAAACACTGAAACGTTTAAGTAATTCTGTATATATCCATGGAAACGTGCGATTTCTATCGTTAGCAAATTTACACCTATTGTCCGCTTATAATGCCGTTTTTAAACTTTGTTTTGTGGAGACATCGATCGAAGGAAATGAAAAACAGTCATGTCGAAAGCTTCTGGCATCACAACATTCGATTGACCTGATACTCGGTGCTTGATAAGGCGAATATCGAAGGTCAACAACTTCGTTTACTCATGTCTACACGTATGTCGTCTGTATGTGGTCCTCGATCACGCAATAATAATTTCGCCACGCATACGCATGCGTGGAACATTTCACTTCAGGTATTCTCAACAAATATAAGTATAAATAGTCTATAGTACGGAGCACTAATAAAGCAGCTGTTTCTTCAATCGCTATCTGATTTTACTGTGAAAAAGGAACGAATTCGAAAACGCGAACAAACTAAATAAAAGAAGGCAGGCGTTTATCCCACAATGATAAGAATTCGGAAAAAGAGCCTTTTATATAGGCTCCGCTCCGCAATTGTCACTTGGAAGCGTTAGAGAGGCAACTTACGGCTGTCACCATAGCATCGCCCCTCGTGTGGCAGATCTGGTGACGACCGTAAGTCGCTTAGGAGTTAGGTCTAGCAACCGAACTCGCTCGCTACATATACACTTCCTTCCCGTTGTCTCGCACACGGTAGAGGGATAAACACACCTTTCATGTTGTGTGCCGGTATATATGTATCCTTCATTCCCACTCGCCTGTCTGCGTAACAATTAGGATACTGATTCGCTTAGTATTCTGTCATACGCTTCCATTGGCACTGCTAGATGCAGTATGCCATTGTTTTGTTCGGCAAGCGGATAAAAATACAGTGAAACCTCTATTAAGCGGACCCCCAATTAAGAGGACACCCTCTATTAAGCGGACACTAAGCCTGACCCCGAAACGAACGTCTGATATTTTCTTTTATAACGAACCCCTATTCTGAGGACACCTCTATTAATTAAGCGAACGCGGACACTAAAATAAGTTGTATTTGGTTAATTTCTATTGTTAAAAACCTCTATTAAGCGGACATCGGACTGAACATTGGATTACGTCCTTGAAATACGTACTGAAGTCAGTTAATGTTTTTCCATTTACAAACAAATTAAAGTTAGTAATGAAAGGTAATGAACTTGAACTCTGGATAGCTTCTTTAACAACATACAACTTTATCACACTATAGAGTAACCGTTGAATGTTGATCGTTGACAAACATTACGCAGTTTTTACAATCTCTATTAGGCGGACATCCTCTATTAAGCGGACAGTTGGGAAGGTCCCGAACGTGTCCGCTTAATAGCGAACCCTGTCTGTGCTTGAAAGCGTCAAAATCTTCACGCAGACCTGATCGATCGCCGCCACTGCCGCTCATATTTTCTTCTTAACCGTTTAGCAGCACCGCCTGATCTCCGCAGTGTACGACTGGATAGAGGGGCGTGACCGGACACCCTTGGTCTTCATAGTGGCATGACGATCTATAAGTGTGGAAAGAGTGGAGTTGTAGTCTGTGGCTAGCTTTTTCACGACTTCCGTAGATGTTTCTACAGATGATTCTTCAGCCGTCCTGTTATCTTGGCACAGTGAAGATGTTTCTAGGTCACGTTTGTCTTATTGAACTTCTCTAAGTCAATAGACTTGTACTTCCTATGTGTGATCACCTTTTCTTCTACAGGTTTCTCTAGCAGTAACTTACAACAAAGAGAGGCATGATCCGAGATGTAACGATTGACTATAAGTGGGGCTGATAATATACCGTCAGAGAACCGAGCCATTAAAAGAGTTATAACAGTCACGTCCAATACTGACGACATGATACGAGTGGAAAAATATATTTCACAACTTGTACGAGCGGAGAAGTTGTCGAGTGTAAGATGCATCTCATTAGCTTATTAGGAACGACAACTAAGTTGTCGAGTCGAAGGAGTGGACACGTTTTCTCGACCCGACAGACAGAGTTGTCGAGTGTAAAATGCATCTCCTGATTAGTTTATTAGGGACGGCAACAAAGTTGTCGAGTCGACGAGTGAACAAGTTTTCTCGACCCAACAGACAGAGTTGTCGAGTGGAAACTAGTTCTATTATAACCCCCGGTAAGTAAAATCGGCTCCCTGGACTGTAATACCGATTCTTCAAAATCAAAGAATTCTCTAAAGAAAACGCTTGTTGGAATTCTATGCTCGTCAGAGAACGGACGTCGGTAAATTAAAAATAGACGCAAGTTATGTCTAACGGAGCTGACGACCCATTCAACTTTCAGTAACTTTATTTATAAAGGTGAAGAAGAAAGGCTGAAGCCTCGCGTGTTACAAGATAAATCTTGATGTGCAGTATTGTCAAATATACGTTAAATTTATTTTGTTGGCATGGATGTTATTAAACTGTTTGTCGATGTTTAAGTGTTGTGAACGGTCATTCTGCCTTTGCGACCGGGATGAAGTCCTTAATCGCTAACATTTAAAATGAAAGCTACCGCGAATTTTCCTGTGGTGCTCTTTATTATGCTGTACTGATGGTATTTAGTTTTAATGCTGTAGATAAAATTGAAATTGGAAGTAAGAGCAACCTCTCTTAGTAAAAGCTATTGAAAAACACTTTCCTGTGGTAGAATTAACCATGCTGTTCAATCTGCTACTCCCGTTTCAGTTTGTGGACTGAGTCCTTTTAGGGCCTGTTTACATGGAGTGGGGGACCCCGGTCTAGTGGGGTAAGTTTCTTTTGTTTTCACGCTCCGGGGGACACAAAACAAAAGAAACTTACCCCACTAGACCGGGGTCCCCCACTCCATGTAAACAGGGTCTTAGTCAGTACGAACATTAAAATAAAAGATACTATGTCGCTAGGTAATAGATGAACTTACTTGACAATCGTGAAACTGTACGTGTGAACCATTATACTGCTTATTTTTTCTTAGGCATAAGCGGAATTGTACATGCGACTTTGCCGGTGCACGTGCAGTTAAATAAGATAACTTAAACAACTTCCTTATCATTACAAAGCCTTTCTCCGCGTAAAAAAGAGGAAATAGGAGCAGGCTCGAAAAAAAAAAAACAAGCTTGTCCTTTGGGCAAGTTCCCTTGCCTGCATGGGGCCAGGTGGTGTTAAGGCTTTCGAATAATATTTTTACCATTTTGTGTAAAACGAACCACCACTTGCACTGAAGATATAACCTACATTTTTCAGTGTTTTACAAAAACCCAAGAACTCAGATAATTTGTATTGATGATGCAAACTAAAGTATGGTACATAAAACATATCAACACAACGATTCATAACACATACTTAAATATCATGAAATAGGTATACCAGGATTATAAATACGGTGTCGCTGGGTAATAAATGAACTTACTTGACAGTCGTGAAACTGTAGATGTGAACCATTATACCGTTTGTTTTCTCTTAGGCATAAGCGGAATTGTACATTCGACTTTGGTGCACGTGCAGTTAAATATGATAACCTATTATTCATTCAAAATATTTCCCCGATTCTGATTGGCTAAAAGCAAACGCACAATTCACCATAACCATTTACTGATGACCAAATTTGGAGGAATTTTGTACTTAGCGAGGAAATGACGTCAAAAATGCAGCGTTTTTGCAGGTTAATGCACCGTTAACCGAGAAGACCTGGGGACGAGGTTGAGTTGTTTTGGCTGTGGAAACAAAAATGGCGCACATTTCACTCGTTTCAAGAGTAAGAACTAGGTGAAATAATAGCTAAAAACATGGCACGAACATCAACAAGACAACTCGAAGGGCGACATCTGCTATTTGGAGAATATTTGCAGAGCTGAACAATCGCGGAGGGTGTTATCCGCCTCGGCCTACGGCCTGGACGGATAACACCCTCCTCGATCTCCATAATTCTTCATAAGATACTTGATCAACCTCATTCATTCATTGTTAAATTAAAAAACTTCCTTATCATTACAAAGACTGCGTCCAGACGTCTTCTTTTTCCGCGTAAAAAAGAGGAAATAGGAGCAGGGCTACAAAAAAACACAAGCTTGTCCTTTGAGCAAGCAGTTGTCACATTTCCCTTACCTGGGGCTACTTCTTGCTGGTCTTAGTGAATGATTTTGCTAAAAGATGACTTGCCTGGAACATAATAAGCTTTAAAAGTTACTTGCCCAGCAAGAAAATCTACTAGTATCGGACTACAAGGGGGAAACTTTTTCGAGCCCTATAGGAGACGTCTGAACGCAGGCTAATCATTACAGAGATGCTAATCCCTGTTGAACCAACTATTTATTATTTTTTTTATTCCCTCCAGGGACGGCTCAAGTAAAATAGTAAATTTTCTCTACGACAAACAAAACCCCTTTTAAGGCGCCTTCCAAAAGTCGGAACTGGGCGGCTGGAACCCTTATTTTGAAAATAACGCAGGCTTGTCTCGAGAATTTTTTCCCAAAGCCTATCACTGCAATGCTCACTACGAAAAGAATGGTCTGGCTAAACAATGCTGATTAACACTTAAATTCTATTCACGACTGGACTGGTCTGGCCGGCCAATTCCAACTCAAAGTAAGTACCTTTAGTGTCCGTCAAAGAGAGATGTCCCTGTTACAGAGGAGCCAAGAAAATGACTGATGACGAGTGTTGGTTACTGGGAGGACATTGATTGTTAGGTCACTTTCAATAAAGAACTACGAATTTGCAAGTTTTATAAGCAGCTGTTGACTTCTTGAACATTCACAGTCAGTGATACTGATTGTACCACAGGGTAAGTTATAAAATATAATATTTCCTTTGAAGCGTGAAAGTCGACCACAAGCCCGTCTTGAGATAGCGATTCCAACCTACTGAGTTCTTCAGAGAGGGCGCTCCCACATTGACCGATCTTTCATTGGCCACCACGTTTATTCAGCTTTAATACGAAACCCAGTCTCTTGTCTATCTTGGGGTCTGTCTTTCAAGAATTGTGGCCAAATTTGTCCCTCGAGCAAACAGTACCCGATACAGGAAGCAGGACAAAATCGTATCAACTGTGCAACAAAGCATATTATCGCCTGTGTAGCCTGGGTTTAAGGTTTGAGATAGCGATTAGAGTGGGCCACCAAGGCCCACAATGCCTAAGGAAGAAATCTGGTTGCTGGTGCAGCCGCAGTACTCATCCTAAGGGCCTTCTCCCCAAATATAATGCAGCGAAGGCATTGGGGTGACCAAAACCCAACAGATAAGGTCACAGAGGTCTTAGAAATATTATAGAAAGGACTATGGAAGCAACCCACTATCGTAAGTGTTTCAATCGGAAACCAATTTTCATAGTTGCACATCTTTTGGCTCAGGGGCGTTTTCAAACCGTTGTGCAGCAAACTGCTGCTTGCCTTTACGCCATCGGAAGTACATTACACCAATCCCCACCGATGCAATTATGACAAACAGCAGAATAACAATTCCGGCGATTAAACCACCGCGGGTTGAGGATTTCTGAGGCTCCTTTGTACCTGCAGCTGTGGAAAACAGAAAAAATACTCAAAAAATGGTCAATTCAGACATGGTTAATAGAGTGGAATGGTTGTGAAGCCCGAAGGAGTCCTTTGTTATATATTTTTGTGTACCTGACGGTGTACAACGCTCAATAACATTCCTACTATTTTGATCTCATTGACCAATAAAAACGTCGCATTAATTTTCTGTCAGCTATTGCTACTGAAGGCAAGGATAAACATGGGTTGAAACTTTACAAAGTTGGGCCGGCTATTTCGAGTTTTTTGTTTTTGTTTTTCTAACCTTGCCTTCAAAAATCACCAAAAAATATCATGGTCAGTTCTCCCTTAGGTAATATCTTCTTCTTCATAACTCTACAGAGGCCAGACTCGTACCCAGTCGCTATTTATGCGTTTTTGAGCTGAGAGACGATTGGATGTTAGATTGAGGCGCGCGAGGTCTCATGAGAAGAAGCTATTTTTCCTTCGTAAATTCCCATGAGACGCCGCGCGCCTCAACCTAACCCCCAATCTTCTCTAACCCCAAAAACACATAAATAGCGACTGGGTACGAGTCTGTACTGAGACATCATTCTGTATGAGTAAAGGCACCAAGTAATGACTTCAGCACAGAATTAACTTAAAACAGCAATTTCCTCGAATCCCCTTTCGCCAGAGAAGGCGTTTGAATTTTATATTTTTTCCGTCCTAAACTACTGGGGATTCTTACCTTCTTCAGCAACTCTTTTCGCAGGCCAGGGAGCTGGGAATTTATCGACTTTGCAGAGCCCTGTGGGATGAGATTCATCTGGATATATCCATGAACAATCAGGAATAAGGATTCCAGCTTTCTCGAATTCCCCGGCGCAGTCACGTTTCACCTGCATAAGAAAATTGAGTAGTTACATTCTAGACTGTTCACATGCCTACAAAAATCACCGATAAATTATTATGGCCAGTGCTCCCTGTAAAAATTTGATTAACCCTTTAAACCACATACAAATTCTCCAAACCGATCTCCATAAATTTCGTTTAAGAATTAGTTGAGAGAATTTGATAAAAGATCAAAGATCTTTCTCTTTGTGATCGTTTTATTAACTCTGATAGACTTTCTTCTTGACAATGTATGGATATTGTCAGGAGAAAATTGATGTTGGTCACTATTGGGAATTAAAGGGGTTGTGTCACGACAGTCCAGTTCATTTTGTTTAATTTTGCCAATTACTCGCCCTCAATCGCTATGGAACTTAAAGTAAGCAAAGAAATTACATGGAAATGACAAAAACAGAGTTTCGAGACAAACAAATATGTCTCCCGAGCATTATTTTTGAAGTTGCAAACTGCAGAGATCAACTTTGAAAAACTGTTACGCTGAACAGTTTTCAAAAAACCTAATTTCAATCCGTTTCAATCTTCTTTAGTTTTGCCCATCCGTGGCATCTGTTGTATCTGTTGTGTTATTTTAACCTTCCTTTAATGTTTTAAGCGGTTATTTTTACGTTTCTCTTAATTTAACGGGCATTTTGTAATTTCCTAATTCGGCTGAATTTCGTGACACAGTTCCTTTAAACGGTTAATATAATAATACGGCTACGGTTAAAGGCAGTAAGTAATGACTTCAGTCTGAGATGCACAGCGATACAGGTGAAATAATAAAAAAAAACTCTCGTTGTATTAGCGCGCCATATTTACTTACCTGCTCACAGATATCTCGGCAAGGCACATACACAGACAGATCATTTGGCTTACATGGAGGAACAGATGTGTAGCAGAGGTACTTTTCAAATTCTGATGAGCATTTGGAGTTCAAAATACCCTGTAGAACAGAGTAACTAGACTGGTTTCTCTCTGGAACAAACGTCTGATTATAGTGTAAATCAGCAATGCAGTATTGTGGTTTGACAACTTTGCTGCATGTACCGCCACGTTTGGCAACTGAAGAAAATAGAGAAAAAAATTAATACTTGAAATTATTGAAAGTAGAAGAAAAGATAGTTGTGCATAAGTTTGTCAATTTTCTCTGGACTAAAGCGTTTCCAATTAAAAATCATTCATTTTAAACATGCCCTTTGTTAGTATATACCACACAAGTGAGTAATGGGTTTCGGCACGCTGTTTAGCTAAAGTTGATTGGGAAGCCTCGTAGTAATAAGTATATACTATAAGTAATATTCACTTCCGAGTAGACGGAGAGAAGCAGAAAACATTTAAGATTTGAAATAGATCCTTCTCGTTGAATACAGAGTCTCGGATCCAGAAACATTGGAATTTTACTACTGAAGATTGTCGAACGTGTAAAGTGATTTCGTTCACTTCGTCTTCTGACTTCATTTATTATAATCACCTGAGTTATCATGTAACTTTGTAAGCGTTGATATGCACAGCGCGGCGCGCGAGATTTTTGATTTCCAAGGAACTGAGAAACATAAAGCAACTTTGGTCCGCTAGTTATTCCGCTAGCGTGGTATATACTAAAAACATTGTTCACCTCAGTGTTGGCGAAAGTGGAGGATATTTTGTAAGGACACGTTTTTAGCCTTTCCCGAGGGGCGGTGTCTTTCTAACAGGACCTTTGACTGATAAAATACCTAATAATCGGTAATCACTTTGAAAATTGACCCACCAGCTGGAAGAGTGCGTTTAAATCCGTCAGGAACAAAGCAAGTATTTGGCCAGGAATCCTGTTCTGGTAAGAGATCACAAAGTGCTCTGAACAAACCAGCATGTGAGGCTAAGGAGAGTAACATCTGACAGCTCCCCACGAACTCCAGACAAACACTCCGACAGGGCGGTATGGGTCGCTCAACGCCTTCCACACACTTGGGCATTGAAAAAGAGCACATAACTGCTTTGCTGTACGGTGAGCATATTTTTAGGAAATCCAAGAAAAACTGCAAACTTCTTGATTTGACTTCTTGGTATGACTTGCCATCAATTGGCGGAAAGTTTGCCGTGTAGTCGTAACCAGCTCCTTCACATACGTTTGCTTTCAGGGGAACACACTTAGCAGGCCCAGCTGTTAGGACAATTACAATATATAAAAAAAGTATTGTTACATTACTTGGGCGAGAGAGAGGGTTGACAGCCAAAAGCAGCCGGTACGGGGCGCTTTCCATTTACCAAGAAATTCCAGAAATTACGGTTGGAATAAAAATGGAAAACACGTTTTTCAGGCGTTCCAAAGGAAAATTCCCGGGAACGTTGAAAAGATAGTCCTGTATTTCCCGTTGTTTTCGCAGGGGGGAGCAGTGCATTTTATAAAAAAGAGAGGTTAAGATTCACGTTTACGCCAAACAGCAGACGTGAATTTGTACCACGTGACCAAGGTTTCCCCATATTTTCCGTTCACTCTTTATTGCTTCTACACAAAAATAAGTAGTTTTATCCCAGTTTTAACCATAGGAATCGTTCCGGACTGTTTTTATCTGCTTATTTTCTGTTCTGAGAAATTCTCAATGAACTTGAGTCTGACGTTTGAGGGAGCTTAAGCAACGACGTTTTTGAGCGACGCACGTCAACCGGAAGTGAGGCCTTCTCCCTTTTTATCTGCCTTGACGCTAACAAATTTGTATTGCTAAGTTTCTTTTCTCTTATAAAGACGATTTACCAGAGAGTTTCAACCAAACCACTGCCCAACGATGCAAAAAGTCCTCTTCCGGTTGACGTCCGTCGCTCAAAAACACCGTTGCTTAAGCTCCCTAATCTTAATATCTCTAATAACTGAAATAGTACGCGCGCTATGATTGGCCGAGAGGTGTGTTTGCATGAGAGTATGTAAACATGGTGGTGACGTCAAGATGATTTGCCATGTTGTGCCATTTTTTTTACTTGAGTTGACATTTTAAGCGAGATAAATCGGAATTTTGGAAAGCCTCTTTTTTTCGCAAAACAAGAACTGATTAGGCATGCAAGACTTCGCGACTGGTGATAATTTCTCTTTTAATCAGTGCCATAACAAAGAGTTTTGCGTTTTTTTCTCGGGAAAGTTAATTTATAAAAGCAGTAGAATTTTTTTTCCTGTATTTGCATAGCCTGATATAAACACTCGAGGGGATGGGAGAATTCTCGACAGTTATGGAAACCGTTGATTTCGTCTCGGGTTTGCATAACTGTCTCGAATTCTCCCAACCCCTCTCGTGTTTATATCACACGGAAAACGTTTTCTATTGCTTAAATGTTACTCAAGAATACCGGTGTTTTCCTCCGCTCCACCTCAGGAAACGTTGCTCAGATACTCGAAAAACAAAATTAAGTTTTTCCCTCGGAAAAGGGTCATTAAGGAACAACAACAGCTCCCGAAAAGCATTCCATCGTTTTTAAACCACTTTATACACACCTGAGGTTGGAGGAACAGGATCGGGAATTTTCCACGGCCATGGGGCTGGCCACTTCTTCAAATCACACAATCCATCGCGGTCACCATCTCCTGGAGGAAACAGATAGTCACAATGCAGTGCTGGAATAGAGTTGGTTCGCAAAGCATCTGCGCAGTCGCGGTTCACTCTCTTACAGAGCTCTCTACAGGGAAGGTGAACCACAGAGGAGTTGAGCGTGCACGGCGGTAAACTGATGTAGCACAGGTATTTCTCGACATCTGGTGAACAATTTGAGTCTATTACGCGCTGTAGACCCGTTAACACAATTGGGTTCTGATCATCTGATGGAACAAAAGTTTTGCTGTAATGGAGGTCATTTGAACACTTGTTTGATGTCATTTTGTGACAGACATTCCTGGAAGAAACTAGAATGAGAAACATGTCAAAATTTTTGTTAGAGATAAAATTCAGTACCTCTTCTTATTTGACTCAGCCTGCCTGACAGAAGTTAAAAGAGAAAGGGAGAAATTTGGGGGCAACCCTCGCGCTCTCGTGCACCTGACATCCCCCTTTCCCTTTCAACACCCACCATGCAGGTTATTTGAATCAGTGCTCTTTCAACTTTTTAAAGTCAGATCAGGGCTTCTGGCTTCACACCCACAGCAAATCTTTTCACAGTTTCCCTCACACTTAAAGCCTGCTTCTGTTTGCTGAGGGGGCTTGTGGTATTATGTGATCTGGCACGATCTTGCACTATTAATAAAAATTCATATATAAATTATGGACAAAACAAAAAACTTCAGTGTTTGATTAAGGCTTAACTCAGAATTTAAAAATATTCAGAGCCCCCGAAACTAATTCCTCATGTTGTCATGAATCTAGAATAAAGTATCTTTTTATTTCTTATTTTACTCATACTCATTTTTCTTGGACAATTCTGTACATGGTTGTAAGGTGCAATGAGTTTAACCCTGTGTGAAGCACCAACCCGCAAAAAGAGGCCAGCTACCCTGTTCAAGTGCGTGGGTTCTTTAACGTCCCCTGCTGACCATATAACACTGAAGATGCAGGAGATGGGGCCCATGATTTATCGTCCTTAGCCAAGAAGACTAGAACATCTAACCATTTGCAGATGTCATTGCATAGGCAGCATGTTCTCCTTGGTCTGGTCTGGGGTTCAAACCCGGGACCTCCCGTGCTCTAATAACTGAGCTAACCAGTGCTCTCAAAAAGTACATTCCTTAGATTGCCAAAAAATCAAATTTATTTATTTCCAATAACACGACAAATTGGAAACTGTGCACAATGAGATGACATTCTCACACTCTATCAAAAAGGGTCTGTTAAGAGTACCATTCAACATGCAAATCATGCCTTGAGCTATGTGACTTGTTATACACAAGCTGTACATACAGCATGCTGCACTCAGCCACCCTATTAAAACAGGGCCAACGATTTTTCACCCAGATCAACTTCTGGAAACAGGATGGCCAAGCAGTTAGAGTGCTCTCACAGGACTTGTATGTTGGAGGCACAAGTTCAAGTTTCACTCTGACTGCTAGCTGGATTTGTTCTCTCTATTCATGAGTTCAAATCCCTTGCCAGCCTGTAAATAGCCAACTAGTTCACCTCCTACCAGGTGGGATTCTTAACCATATTAACCCTATAAGTCCCAATGGTGACCAACATCAATTTTCTCCTAACGATATCCATAGACTATCAAGAGATTAGCTTATGAGAGTTAATAAAATGATCATCTAAGAGAAATTATGTTTTGAGCTTTTATCAAATTCTCAACACATATTTCTTTAAGGAAATATATAGAGATCAGTTTGGAGAATTTGTATGGGGATATTGGGGCTTAAAGGGTTAAGTGCCATTTGAAATACTGGTTCATTATCCCTGGAAAGCCTCAAGGGGGAGAGGATAATTAAGTGTTTATATTTATATTTAACTTACATAAATTGCTTGACTGAAAGTTTGGTGGCATGATGCATTTGTCTGAGGTCCCATCATACACTGGCAGAAGATCGCAAAGAGCCACTGTCATTCCATGAGTCGATGCATACTGCAGTTGACTCTTACATTTTTCAGCAAAATCCAGACAAACTTGTCGGCATGGCAACATGGGTCGGCCAACTCCTTCAATGCATTTTGGAAGATACAAAGAGCAAAGGATCAGACTACTGTGCTGTGAACAAGATTGCAGAAGAGGAAGGAGTGTATCGAGGAGTTGTCCTTTGTAATCTTGGAACTGTTTGCCAAATCGGGCCGTAAATTTGTAACCTGCATTGGCACATGATTTGACAGTGATTTCTTCACAGGATCCAAGAGCTGTTTAAAAAAATTGACAAAAAAATGACCAAAAAAAACCAAATTATACTTAGAATATTCAAATTAACAAAGTGAAGATGACCCATTACTATTGAACAATAACATTGAGACACAGACACCTCATGATCATCTTGAAGGGAGGCAATGGAGTCTCAAGTTTTATTTCTTTGAACAATTGTCCCATCACAGGCTTGAGATTCCCTGCCTTGTTCCTGTAGAAAAACATTTTCTTTTGGCAATATGATGAATCCTTGCTTCTTTAGTCAAAGTGGATCAAAATTGGCCTTGTTTTTTTTGTATTTTTATGAACCTTAACTTTGTTTTGGTGCACAAAAATGTAAATTAAAAGAACTAGGCCAATAATTACTATTTTGACGACATGCTTGTAGGTCAATGCGTCATGTAGTACAGTAAAAACCCGTGACTAAGATTACTTGCATTTTTCCAAGTTAGCCTAAACATGTTCTTACATTAATGGTAATTAGCAAAAATTTAGACTATGTAGGTTCTTAAATAGGTTCTTATTTTCTGAAGAAAAAAATACATCTAAGAGGATTTAGTTACAAAAGTGCACTTAGCTTATTCAGCTAGTTTACAGGCACTCCGCTTAAATACTTAGAAACAAATAATTCAAATACAAGATAACAGGATTAAAAACCCCAACTGGCAGGAGGTAACCAGTTGGCTAAATAATTTACAAGCACAGCTGAGGATTTGAACTCGGTATGACCGAGAACAAATCCACCAAGTGGCCGGAGCGGGACTCCGACCAGGGACGACCGGATTGCGAGTCCAACGCCCTAACCACTGGGCCATGCAGCCTCCAAAGTTATTCCTTATAAAATCTGCATACCATTTCATTGTGGCAGTTGGAGTGATAAGACACCCAGTCTCCAAAGAGGATGCTGAATGCCCAGGTGGACAGAATTTTTTTCTTAACTTTTAGAAAATAAGAACCTGTTTCAATTTTAGGCTAATTACATAGGTTCTTGTTTAGAGGGGGCCTAACTGGCAAATTTTAGCCTATCAGGTTCTTACAAACCAGGTTCTTAGTCGCAGGTTTTTACTGTATTATCAGTTAAATAGGTTCATTGTGTATACAATATTAATTTCGCACTTACGATATGGAGAAGGTCTGAATTCCTTGGGCCAAGCAGCTGGCCACTGTGTTAAGTTACAAAGACCAGTTGCTGTATTGTCCCTGGGGTAAATGAAATTGCAGTCCGTTAGAGGAATGCCTAAGGCATTAAACTCTTTCCAGCATTTCTTGTCGACGACGTCACAGAGTGATTTGCATGGTACAGATGTCGTGGCTGGTCGGTTAGGATAACATGGTGGAAACTGTGTGTAGCAAAGAAACTTTTCCAGGTCTGTTGAGCATTTACTGTTGATGACTGTACTAAATATAGTTTCATCCAGTCCAGTTTGAAGACTTGGAGGAATAAAGGTTTTGCCATAATGAAGGTGACCCGAACATGTCTGAACTGTGACATTATGGCAAACATTCGTCACAGGACCTGACAAAGAATTTTTGACCCTTTGAGCCATACAGTAGTGTAATATCAATGAACACATTCTCTCTAAGACAGCCACCTTCCGATAACTCAAACCCTCTAGGGAAATCTAAAAAGGTTCAAGTTATTGGGAGTACAAGCAAAGCAAAGCCAGTGGGGAAGCAACGCAATTACCATACAAAGTTTACTACAAGGGCAAAAAGAGATTAAAAATAATTTAATGATATTTTCAAAATTCAAATTATCGAGGGTAAAATTAAATAGAAATCATCTGTAGCCAAACAAAAACTACTTTGAGTTAGCAGGAGGTTCGAGTCATCAAGGGTTTGAGTTACCGAGGGTAGAATTACAGTAATAATGTATGAAGGATCTCTTGGGGAAATCGATTATGGTTCAAGTTGCTACAACAAGCTCTGAGTTAGTGAGGGGCGGGTTTGAGCCATCATATGTCAACTGCATAATTCTCTTATCAGCATGATGAGGAGAATTTGCTTACTAGATATTTTGTCATGGTCTTAATGATTAACTGAGAAGTGAAATTAGGGAACATACTAACACATTTTTGAGCAATGCATTTCAACAGTGGAAGTGGACTTTTTGCATATTCAGGCAGTGGTTTGTCCCAAACTTCCATGCAAAATGTTTCCATCAGAGCAAGACACTTAGCAATACAAATTTGGTTGCAACAAGGCATATTAAAACTTTAAATGCATGTCTTACAATACCAAAATACGAATAGGCCGACACGGCTTCCTCCACAATACTTGAAAAAAAAATGTAGAATTTTGAAATTTAATTAAATCAGGACAAAACTCAAAATTTATCATCTTGAAGAGTTACACAAAGCAACTCAGCAGGAAGCTGGTTCATTTTTATCTGAAAAACAAAAATCTGCAAAACTTCACCATTATTCATGGTTAAGGTATCTGCACCAGCAAATTTTCAACATTTTATTTTGCCCTCAAAATCTTTCTACAGTAAGTTCAGATGATCTAATATGCATATCTGGTGTTCTTTTTTGAATATACCTTCGCATTTAAGAGAAAATCTACTCAAAAGTTGACTGATTTACCGGAAGTTAAAGAAAAATTTTCATTTCCGTTACTAAGAAAAAGGACGGCAGGAGCGCAATTTGACTCCTCTTTTCAGCATCAAGTTCTATTGATGTGCTGAACAAAATCTATTCACTGCTTGGATTCATTGACAAACTGCCGCCGCTGTATGTCCGATTTGATTTTTCTTGCTTCTGTTCAGTAAAGCTGTGATGACTAATATTACTTGCTTCTTGTCAATATTTGTTATGTTCTTGAAATATACTCCGTTTTCCAGGGCTTATTATTGTTTTAAATTTACATTACATCGGTGTGTCTTCTCACCTGATATATTCTGACAATTTTGCCGGGAGAGTAAAACGTTTTTTTGGCCCCTAATCCTCTGGTCTGTTTTTTCTGCCAATTTCTTTCACTTTACGGAAGCAATTCTTTTCAATTTTGAATAAAACTCTTCTTCAAACTTAATACTTCAGCGTGCCTCACTGCATTATAGCTGACACTGAGTAACGCATCTTCCGGAAATGCGTCACACCTAGCAACTGGTCACGTATCAAAATCCAAGGGGGCTATAGAGAGGTCATTTGGCATTTTCTTAGGCTTCCACGAGCATTTTACACAGCGGTGATTCAAAATGGCGGGTAAGAAGGTCTGCGATGGTAGTATCGAGCAAAAACAGTTGATTTTGAGAGGAAAATAAGCTTTTTTACACCGGAAAAGCGTTAATTGCCGTGTGACCGATTTACCTTGACTTATGGGAACCAGTTTTTTGGAGGAATGGATCATTATTTCTTCGTGAAATTTGGCAAATACACAAAGAGCATGTTAATGAACAGATCTGTGTTTGACCAAAGGTTAGAATTGCCGTACAGCTGAGTTGTTGATGTCAAAATGTGGATCAAATTACAAAATAGCAAATTGTACCCTAGAGGGTGGATTAATTGGAGCTATGTCATGGTCAAACACAGAATTATTCTATCTTACATCCTTATTTGTGTTACATTTCTTTTTTAACAATAACTCTAAGGATTCTGCTGAAATTTTGATTTTTCTCTTTCCGTGCCACCCTAGGGGGTAATTAAATTAGCACCTTTTGAGTGACATAACATAGTTTATTTTGATATATTCTAGTTCCTCAAGAACTGAGGAATACTGTCAATGTAGTGACATATAGATAGTATCCATAAAATAACCACTAAAAATGATGCAAAAATGTGCAAAATTTGCCGATGCAGATACCTTAACTGAAGAATGCGTTATTCATAAAACTTTATAATTAGTTTATTTAGTAGATCAATATGACAGTAATATAAGATGTTGCAAAATAAAGCTAACCTCCGGATGTCGGGCCATTAAAATTGCTGGGATAAAAACAATTTTTCGCTGATTGAGGATTCTCATCAGGTAAAAGATCGCAGAGAGTCGTAAACAATCCTAACAAGCCCGCCACACGCAGGGTGCCAACACATTCGGCAACAAACTTGCTGCAGACTTTACGGCATGGAATCCAAGGCTTTGCTCTACCTTCCTCACATTTCGGTACGTAAAGCGAACATAGGATAGTACTGGTGAAACTGGAACACGTTTCCAACAGCGGGATGTAAGTTTTTAGGCGATATTTGTGTACGTCCTGATAAGGCCGTCCGTCAACATCGGGAAATCTTGCAGTTAGAGTGTAGCCGGCATTGGAACACGATTCGATCGTAACAGGTTCGCACCGTTCGCAAGAAACAAAAGCGATCGTAATGGTTAACAACGCAACTTTGCAAACTATATCCATAGTTTTGCAGCTCAAGCCCATTCTTGAAATATGCAGCAATGCACGTCAAGAAGTTCCAAAGATCCCTCTGGTTCACTGATCCTTGGCGAAGTTTGTTTCAAAAAAACAACAACTCTTAGCCCGCGGTTGGACAGCGGCTGGCCAAGGGTAGGGGGTGGTACCGTAGGGGTAGGAGTCGTCACGAAACGTCACGAGTCGTCACAGGACCGCCAACACACTACCCTGGGTTCCACCTTCAGGGCGGAAAAACGTAATGAGCATGCGTGAACTTTTTTGCCCAGATCCCCTGGCCGGGTTTGAAAAAATGGCGGGATTTAAAATATTTTCTTGCCTCAAAATTAAATGTTTCCACTCATAACCTGAAAAGAACAGGAAATTTGTCCTCAAAAGTTGCAAGCTGTGGTTATAACCTTGTCGTTACTTAATTTTCTCGAAGAATACCTCATAGTAAAACGGACTTTAACGACATTAATTTCCTTGCGTTGTACTGGAAATGTGCATGCGTAGGTCCGATTTTTTTCAAGATGCGTTTACAAAATGTCTTCATATAAGGAAGTTTCTGGATATATAAGGTCCGGAGCTCTACTGTGGACACAAAAACAACATATCTTTGGACAGTGATTTGCCCAAAAAAATTAACGCTTGCCCACAATGTGTTTGAAGTCACTGAACTTTGTCGCACTCGAGCGAATATTTTAAAACCGTCGCTCGATCGGACGCTCGTAGTTCGCAGATCACTAAAATATGAACAAAATTCTCAATGTAGAAGTTATTGCGTTGATATGTGAGCAGAAAGAAGGTCAATCTTTATCTAGTAAAATCTTCCCAAAAATCGGTTTCAAAGCAACTATAGTTTTTTAAACTTGCTCGTTTCGCGCAGATATATAAATTTTGCTTTGTGTTGTCAAGTTGAACACGCATAACATCTGTCAAAAACCTACAAGTAAGAAGGATTTTTCCTTCAAACAAAGTTAAAGTTACATTATTTCAAAAACTTGTTGCTGATAATGAAGAAATGAATTTTCTCTGCGAAAACAACCTACCTAAAGACCTTAAAAGCAAAAGATCAGTTTCAACTTGGCAGCCAAGCCATGTTTCACCATTTAGCTATTTTCAATACGCTTAACTGGTCCATCAGTGCAAGGGTCTTCGTTTAAGCAAATTAAACTCAGCCGATCTTTAGAAAATACAGAAGATTGCACATAAGGGTTTGTTTTGCTCGCCTCAGTCAAATCAAGCTGCAGCAATTGTTTACGGGAAAAGAGTCAATTGTTTTGAAGTCACTGCCGGCAGTTGTCGTTCTCTACTTCACAGCGGGTGAAAAGGACAATTTGCGTACAGAAAAAAAAGTAATGAAAAATGAAAACTCTGACTATTATTACATGAGCAACAGAAAAATGATCTTGAGTGAGCTTGCTGGCCTTCTATTTCCGAGAAAGTTTAATTTTTAGGCGCACAAGTTTGTTCACTCTTTTGCGTTATAACAGCAATATGGTTCTTTGACTGAAGACCAAGATAAATCTGGTTCTGCAAAGGTAATAAATCCGGGCATGTAAAAAAAGTAACCGTAATTACTAATAACAGAATACAAGCGGGTTTTAATTCAACCCAGCGAAATCAACTCACAAATTGATCGGATGCACAATCAGAAAAATACTCGCCTCTTAAGAAATGTTCAAAACCTTTTATTCCACCTCAGACTGACGGAATGATCCGTTTTTCCTTTAACGTTGGTTGTTCTGAATCCAAAGTAATTTTCAAGCGACGAAAAAAAAGCAAACATGTCAAATAAAAATGCTTTACAGGGAGCAAACGTTCGTGCCTCGTGCATTTCACTCAACTCCAGCAACAAACAAAGTCAGTCCCAGTCAATACACAGAAAAGGCCCGCCTTGAGCCTGCGATAAGGGATGCGCAGAAGCTTGCGCAGATCGTTTTTCCGCCCTGAAGGTTCCACCAGGTTGTGCCTAAATCATACCGTTCAAAAGGACAGCCGAGGAGTACTAGGAACGAGTTTCTGATTCGTGCCGACTTCGGAAATTCTCGAAAACATCCAATATGGCGGCTCAAGCGTGGTGAAAACTGACAGCCAAAGGAGCCGTTTTATCGCCAGAGAAGCGTATACCTGCCAACTCTCACGCCTTAGGCGTGAGTCTCACGCCTGCGGGTTGAAAACTTCGATCTCACGCCCGCTCACGCCTGCGGACCAATTTCTCACGCCTGATTGAAAAATGTGAGTTGTTGCCGTCTTGCTTGACACAATTTCCAAAAATATGCAGGGCCGTAGCCAGGAAGAAACTACAACCGAGGCGAACACACGGTCCGTTGTACGAAATCAGCCGTATGAAATCTTCTAATATTATCAGTCTGATAAAAAAAAATAAAAATCGACAGTATTTGGTAAAATTTTACCGAGGCGAGTGCCTCGGTTCGCCTCATACTGGCTACGGCGGTGATATGTTAACTCAGACCCATGTAAGGAACGAAAACCATGTGTAAAATGAATAAATGACAATACCTTCCTCGCGATCTCTGATTTTGTGGATAAGCGTTTTCTCGATAACTTCGCCTTCGGCAGACTTCGGACGTCTTCGGAAGACTTCGGACTTCTTCGGGAATCTTCGGAAATGATCGTGTCGTTTTCAAAAATCCCAGCACTCCCAGGATAAAAATCTCACGCCTACATCTCAGAAAAAGTTGGCGGGTATAGAAGCGTGATTTACGGTATTGCTGACGAAGTTTGCGTTTATTGTGAGTTTTGAAGTGTTCTTGGTCCTGTATGGTAAGCAATCCTTTCATAAATGTCTTATCAATTTGTCTTGTCCCGCTGGCCGGCATTACCGAAGAAAATAGTACCGTATAAAGGGACATCCTAAATTATAGCAACATTTGTTGGCATGTACATCTCCTCTAGCTTTCATTGTTAAACTGTGTTGTAGGACTGGACTTCTGCAGGTTTCTACAAGCTTAGGATAACTCTATGGGAACCTTTTTATTCATAAACGTGGCCTTGTCCTTTTGGCCGGTATTACCGAAGAAAATAGTACCGTCCAACGGACATCCTGAGTTTTAGCAACATTTTTTAGGAGGTATATCATATCTGGGTTTTTTATTATTAAACGGTGATTCTTTAGGCTCCTAAAAGGTCAGGGTAACTAAATAGAAGTGTTTAGTTTTTTAGTAAAAAATGCCTTGTGCTTTTGGCCTGTACCGCCTAGCAGGACATCCTAAACTATGTCAGCAGTTGGTTGCATGTATTACTACATGACATGCAGCTTGTTATTGTTACATTGAAGTATATACCTTGCTCTATGAAGGCTTTTTCCTACCAGCTGGGGTAAGCTGAACAAAGATTGTTTTATTCATTCCTTGTTGTTGTAATCACCTAAGAATGTCCACCCAGGGAGACAATCTATAGGGAGTACTCAAAACTGACAGCTAGAGGTGCCGCCAGGGAAGCGTGATTTTACGGTATACTTTGCGATGTTTTAGATTCTCATGTTCTTTGAAAAATTCCTGATTGATCATATCAGCAGTCGATTATGTAAATGATATCCTTATACAGTTAGATCTATTATTATCATAAATATTATTGTTGTTACTAATATTTATTGTTGTTATAGAATGATTGTTATTTCCTGACCTCATTAACTTCATTATTTGTGTGTTGTTTGACTGGTCAGTATCACTCAGCAAAAAAAAGGTTGGTACAGTTGGCTGTACTCTATGGCTGGCACTATCAAAACAAATCAAAATTCTTTTTTTTTGTGACAACAACATTACATTTGTGACATTACAACATTAAGCCCCTTCAAATATAAGCCCCTCAAACCGGTAACGCAAAAAAACCTCCGTTAAATCGCCTCTCCAAATATAAGCCCCCAGGGGACTTGTACTTGGAAAATTTCCTCAAATATATAGTAAAACAAAGCTAAAATGGTAGATTTATTCCCAGCTATAAGGCTAGCCCAATCGATTTTCAAACGCAAATCTCCCTCCGTAGATAAGCCCCTCCGAATATAAGCCCTCCAAAAATAAGCCCGTCAAAAAGGGCCTTTGAAAAATATAAGCCCAGGACTTATTTTCGGAATTTTACGGTATGCTTTGTTCTTCTATTCTCACTGAATAATTAATTAACGCATCGCCAAACGACCGGTAAAATACTCCGCCGTCCTTTGGGACGCATCAATGCACTGCGGGCTCCCCTGATAAATAGGATACACCACGTGGCTTTGATTTCACTGTGTCACAGCGCCGACCGCCGAGACAACTTATCGAGGTTCGCTTGTATCGGTTTGTCAACCAACACCAGCCCGCCTTCGTTTCCTTGTACTTTCCGCTAGCGTCAAACCGTCTTTTCTTCGACTACATGGCGGAACCAGCGGGAGAATTACCGCCTTTACCTCCGGTGGCGGCAGAACCGCCTGCTAACCCACAGGGGCACCCAACGAGGACATAGTTCAAAACCACTTAACATAGCATTGTTAAACGTATTTTAGTATTCAAACGGTAGATATAGGCATATTTTTATCCCCTAAAAACTTTTCATCTGTTCGGATTTCCTAGCTGAAAGTCTAGTGATCCGAAAATTGTAGGGATAAAAACTTACCTTCTCGAAAATTTCAGCCAGGAAAAGGCTCCCGAAAATTGTAGGTGGCCTTTTTTACGGTCAAAATCCGTTAAAAATGGGTAATTATACCATTTTGTAGATGTTCGAAAATCCTAGGAGAGGCAGGCAAGCAAGAAATTTTACAACAAATGCTCCGAAAATTCTAGATCTCAAATTGTCTTCCGAACAGATATTTTCCCGAAAATTGCCGTTGGGTGCCCCTGAACCCAGAACTTCCCGCAGAACCTCCTGCAGGACCTCTCGCAGAAGCTCTCGCAGAACCGGCGGCGCAACCCGCGGCTGCTAATCAGGTAATTTCTAGTTCTGGTGCTTTTCGTTCGCTTTTAGCTTTAGCTGCCCGTTTGTGCGCATTTCGTGTTTTTTCTCCAACGTTTCTAGTATTTTGTTTAGCATATTTAACGTTCCACGTGTCTCTAGGGCATGGCATATCTTTGTTTTTCTCTTCGCTTTTGTTAGCGTTGTTCGTATATGTATTTCATTTTACTCGGTCCTTTTGTTTCGGCTTGTTTGTGTCTCATTTGGCTCCGGGAGCCGATTTTTTATTTATTTATTTTTTTTTTGTTTGGGACGAAATATTTTTGTTTTGTATGTGCGGTTTTGTCCAAGACACGAGTTATTGCGTTTGCTGTCCGGGACCGCTCGGCTCTGGGGCCGGCTTTCGTTTCGGAACGAATTGCTTTATATACGGTCCGGGACCGTTCGGCTCCGGGAGCCGTGTTTTTTTTGTTTAAACCAAGTATTTGGTGTATGCGGTCCGGGACCGTTTGGCTCCGGGAGCCGGGTTTTGTTCAAAACCAAGTATTTAGTGTATGCGGTCCGGGACTGCTCGGCTCTGGAGCCGGCTTTCGTTTCGGAACGATTTGTTTTATATACGGTCCAGGACCGTTCGGCTCCGGGAGCCGGGTTTTGTTTTAAACCACGTATTTAGTGTATGCGGTCCGGGAACGTTTGGCTCTGGGAGCCTGTTCTTTATTTAGAAAGAATTTTTGTTGGTCGGCTCAGGGAGCCGGTTCTTTTTCTTTTGTTTGGAGTGAGATATTATTGTGTATGCGGTCCGGGACCGCCCGGCTCCGGGAGCCGTTTTGTTTGGGGTGACATGTTTATTGTGTTTGCGGGCTAGGTCCGCTCGGCTCCGGGCGCCTGTTTTGGTCATATATGCGGTCCGGGACCGTTTCGCTCTGGCAGCTGGTTTTATTTGTCAATGATTATTGTTATACGGCCTAACCGTCCATTTTGGATCTAGCATATCCTCGTTTCGGGATCTTTCGGTTCTGCCTTGGGACCGAAATTAATAACATATAAATGTTTTATAGACGTTAATATAATTCATATTTTGCGTCACTCTTAGGCGGACGATCGAATTAAGCTTCTTGAAGACAAATTGAAAGCTTTGGAGGAGAAGCAGGGCGTTGACGTGGTCACCACTGCTCTTACCTCTGTTCGCAACGCTCTTCAGAAGCCGGAAGCTGTTTATGACCCTTGGGAGGCTTCTGCTCACGTCGAGGCCCTGGTACGGGCAGCCAGGTCGTCCGCCCACGAAAAGGCAGACTATTACGCGGCCATTTTGGATGAATTAAAAGGAAGATCTAATGCCCTCTCCCCCTCTGCCCATAAACGGCTGCTCATGGGCCTCTTAGGCGATCCGGTTAGAGCTAAGGTTGCAAAGGAGTCCTCTGCGCTTCTCAAGACTATCCAGCGTGAAGAGCCTGGGTTTCAAGGTCGTAATAGTACTCGCCAGTTTAGGCGCCAACGCCTTTATGTCTACAGTTCGGTTAATTGTTACAGATGTGGTCTACCAGGGCATTTCGCCAGAGATTGTGGCCGCGGACGCGGCCGCGGAAATTCTAGGCGTTAGCATCATGTAAATATTGTAAGGGTATGGGATATGTTTTTTCCTATATTATCCTTGTTTATTGGCCGGAATAAAGATTTTTTTCCCCTAGTTATTAGCGTCCTGGTTTTCGCCTCATTTCTTCGTTGACCCTGGGGGGCCTTCTCAGCGCCTTTATTCTGGTCTATGATCAGAGCTGGGGTCAGCGAAGGATAGGGGATCCCACCTTCTTTTCTTCCTCTTCTTATTTTTGTATTTTCGTTCTCCGTTTTCCCAGGATTTCGCGGTTGCACTACGGGCAATCCTTGCGCTCCCGAGCCGTGACGTCAAATGGTGTGACATAAAAGGGGAACCCTTATCCTTCGTTGGCCCCACCGTACCGGCGGAGCTTGTTAGTAAAGATCCATCCCTTGCAGACCTGGCCCAATTGCGTTTTAGACACCCAGATTATTTCCAAGCGGGCAGCTTACATAATCATGTTGGCTTCTGGGAGGATCTCTTTTCTTCAGCCGGTTACACTTGTCCTCAAGTTGATTTGCTACAGATAATCCGAGAGGGAGTGAGGGTCGATAGTTTCTTCCGTCATTTCAAGGGCAACTTCAAAGGGAAAAGTTATGATTCCGCTGTACCGCCGATTTCTATTTTCCCGAACTCTCGTTGTTGCCATCAATTTACCGATTTCATTGACACTACAGTCTTAGCCTGGGTCTCTCAGGGTGTTATCAAAGTCTACGGCAAGATTGGCGAATGCTCTCCTCCTCATTTAGTCCTCCCCTTGACAGTCGAACCATCTAAGCCGCGTTTATGCCACGACGAGCGCTTTCTTAATTTATGGATTCAAGATCTCCCTTTCAAGTAAGACCACCTCCCAGACCTGCCTCGTTATGTCCTCCCAGGGCATTTCCAGACAACATTTGATGATAAGAATGGATACCAACACCTCAAGATTCACCCGGACTCCCAGGAATTCTTTAGTTTTTCCTGGAGGGGCTATTATTTTTCTTTCTGCACCTTACCTTTCGGGTGGAAAGCAAGTGCCTTTTTATATCATAACGTTGGCCTTGTCGTCACCAGTGCCGCGCGGTCTTTGGGCGTACCTGTTTCGCAGTATATTGATGACAGGCATGTGGGCCAGTTATTCCTATCCGGTCCACTGGTTTGCCAGCCTAGTCGCCAACTCGCACGAGCAGCAGCCTTTATTTTGTTATTCCTTTTGATCTCAGCGGGGTATTTTGTTAACCTTGCAAAGAGCTCTCCACAGCCATCCACTTTTGTTAAATTCCTGGGTTTCATCTCCGATTCTGTCTTGCAAGCTTTTTTAGTCCCACTGGATAAAAAGGAGAAATTTAAAGCGTTGCGTGACGAACTCCTGGAATCATCTTTTGCGCCCGTAAAGAGCTTGCAGCGTTTCGCGGGAAAGGCGCTATCGTTTAGTCTCGCAATCCCGGCTTGTAAGCTGTATGTGCGGGAGGTATTCAAGGCTATCAGCGCTGTTGCCAAGAATTCGAAGCTCTCTGTTCCAATCCTGGGACCTTTGCGACAGGAACTTCAGGAATGGATTTTCTTGGACAATTGGTCTGGTCACTTACCTTGGCGGTCGGAACATCATCTCTCTGTCACAATGTTCAGTGACGCCTCCCAGAGGGCCTGGGGAGCAGTCTTGGTTAAAGATGGCCTACGCCAGCAAATACGAGATTATTGGATCGACCTTGAAGGTGATATCAATACCCTTGAGGCCAGGGCTTTATGTAACGCTTTGAGCTCTTTTTTCCCTTCTATCAGAAACGCAAGAATCGATGTGTGGACGGACAACGCGACTCTCCGAGCAGCCTGGGAAAATGGCGGTTGTAGGAGTTCTCTGGTGAATCAGGAGTTGAAAAAAATAGAAGAAATGTCTCGAGCAGGAAACTTTGTTTTGCATTTGAAATATGTCCCATCGAGTGAAAACATTGCTGACGCGCCCTCCCGTGTTCTGACTGACATTGATTGTTCTTTGTCCGAGGAGGCGTGGGCCCGAGTTCAAGCGCGGTTTGGACCACACACATTTGACTTGATGTCTTTGGACAGCAACTGTCGCAGAGGAAGGGATGGGAGCTTTTTGCCTCATTACTCGCCTTGGCCGACTCCGTATTCTCTGGGCGTTAATGTTTTCGCACAACCAATACCAATTGAACATAACGTCTATGTCTTTCCCCCTTTCGTTCTCGTGGGACCGTTGCTGCGGTACTTTTTTGATCAACGCCAGCGTTTCGCTTTTACCATCGTTGTCCCTCGTTTCCGCCCGCATCGCTATTGGTGGGCAATACTCCAAGCAATGGCAGTAGATTCTTTTCTTCTTGGGCGGAAAGGTGACCCGGCCGTGTTGCTTTTCCCTTCCCGCACCTCCCCCGATTTTATTGCTAGGCCCTTGCCTTGGGATCTGTGGGTTTTTCGTTGTGTCTGCTCCTGGTAAGCTAGGTATTTATGCTTGTCTCTATAGATCGAACGCCCATGGAAGCCTGCCTGCCGATGTCCCGCCTGCTCTTATCCAAACGACAGTGACGCGAACTTTTGCCAGGCCTGCGGTAAACCCCTGTCGCGTGAGCCACCGCAAGGGACCCGTCCACATGCGGACATGCCTTTGATCAACAAGCGCTTTACAGAGTTCCAAGAATCGTATAGGAACAAACCTTATGAACGGCAAAAGGACTCTTTAGAAGTTCAGCTGTCGAGTTTCTTGTGCTCTCTTGTACCCCCGAAGAAAGTTTCTGCTGCAACCGCGGAAGACATCGTAAAGTTTTTGATTAGCAAGGATGCTGCGGGAAAACAGAAACTCCATGTACGCTCTTGCTCTAGTAAGACCTGTAGTTGCCCTAAGCGTCTAGCGGCCGGAACTGTCGATTCATATATAGGGAAACTTAGAGCGATTTTCAATAGGTTAGGCCGTACAGGGTTTTCTAACCCGTTGGCACATCCTTGTGTTAAGGAATATCTTAAGTTTGTAAGAGAGGAGCAAGCCCAGCAACCTTTGCCCCCTCGTCAGGCTGTCCCTTTGTTCTATGACAAATTCACCCGTTTAATTGCCTATCTTCGCGGGCTTATTGCCGAAGGCTCTGCGCTTTCTCCTCTCAATAGATACCTCCTGGTCAGGGATATAACATTCTTTGTTACTGACTTTTACACTGGTGATAGAGCATCCGATTTGGGCCGTTTGAAGGCAGATCAGCTTTTTCGCCTTAAGGATAGGGAGGGGTTCCTTCTCAACTTTACGTTTAGTAAAACGAGGCGTGCAGGTCAGTTTCGCCCTTTTGCTCTGTTACGTATTCCAAATGTACCTGTCTGCCCGGTTTTTTGGTTGAACTATTATATTGCCGCGTGTGGGGCATTAGGTGTCCCTCTTCATGGTGAGTACCTCTTTAGGTCTTCGGAGCATAAAAAGTTTGTGTCACATCGTCCGTTCGGAGGGTCAGCCGTATCTGCACGGCTCCAAAAGTATCTTAAGGCTGCCCACATTAATGACGGAGAGACCCCTCACAGCTTTCGTGTAGGAATTTCATACACCCTCAAGGGTTTGGGATGTACTCCGGAGCAGATTGCACAGTACGTGGGTTGGCGGAGCACAGAAATGGCTTTGTATTACACGCGCCGCTCCAGTGCTTCCGCTTCGTTGCAGTTGTTAGAACGGGTTACGCTCAATCTTACTTCTACGAGCTCTCCGCCCGCCCTGCAACTTTCCCACCAAGGAAATTTGCAGAGAATTTCGTATAGTTGAATTAATACATCTTTCATGACTAAGGGACTTTCATCCCAGTACTCTCCGGTGGTTATTAGTTTGTTGTCAGTTAATAAATCTTTATTGAGTTATGGAGTATTGGGTGTTGAGTGTTGGGTATTGAAATTATAGGGTCGATGTGTTTTGGGGGAGGGTCGGAGACCTAGGTTATAGCAGGCTGCCTCAGGGAATGGCAGGGAGCGGATCTCTCTCCCATAACTTAGTTTCGCGATGTGTTAAGTGGTAGACAGTGAGGATATAGTACTGTTCTCACTGAATAATTAATTAACGCATCGCCAAACGACCGGTAAAATACTCCGCCGTCCTTTGGGACGCATCAATGCACTACGGGCTCCCCTGATAAATAGGATACACCACGTGGCTTTGATTTCACTGTGTCACAGCGCCGACCGCCGAGACGACTTATCAAGGTTCGCCCCACCCTCCTCCCCTGGTGTTGGTTGACAACTCCTCACATATCGTGATCTATTCTTGCTGTCTACCTCTTTCCACAACAATCCGCGGATCTCTCTCCCATAACTTAGTTTCGCGATGTGTTAAGTGGTAGACAGTGAGGATATAGTACGTTCATGGACGAAATTACAGAAACCCATCAGTAACAAGTTCTGTTCAATTTCTACATTACAGATGTACCACAGCAATTAAACTCAACTGATTGTGGTGTCTTTGTCTGTATGGTAGGTTTTGCTATTTCATCACCTTTGCAATAAACATTATTTAATGGACAGTTATTCATTATGCAATTCCATCAAAATAAATATGAACTTTTAAGTATTATCCATCAAAACAAATTTCATACATCACTACTCTTAGTCTGCAGAGTACCTTAGCAGCCGGATAATGCCCAACTATAAGCAGGTATTAAAACAGGGGCACCCAACGTCAATTTTCGGAAAATATCTGTTCGGAAGACGATTTGAGATCTAGAATTTTCGGAACTTTTGTTGTAAAATTTCTTGCTTGCCTGCCTCTCCTAGGATTTTCGAACATCTAAAAAATGGAATAATTGCCCATTTTTAACGGATTTTCACCCTAAAAAGGTCACCTAGAATTTTCGGGAGCCTTTTTCATGGCTGAAATTTTCGAAAATGTA